CTGAATATACTACAATATTCGAACCAAACGTAATTATGTTGTTTGTGGGTTCAAGTGGGTGGATAGGAGAGGAGGTTACAATTTTGTAAAAAATAATATCTCGGCACCAATGAAGTTTCGAAGAATACTTTATCTATATCAATAAGAGTGCTTCCTATGAAGTTCACGAACAAACTTTAAATAACTAACTAATTAATCTCTGATTGGTAAGCCACGATGAAAACGGGAATCTAATATTTCATTAACGAATGGTCATACTAAAATAAAATAATTTTTGCTGCATATTAGTACTTTGAAAAAATGTCATCGCGTAAATCGTTTGGTTAGTAATGTTAAAAGTGGTACACTATTTTTACATATTTTGTACTCACTACAATTTCGCCACGCGTTTACCGCGATATTTAAACTATGATATAATATACCACTTTCAAGCCGATCGGACAATGTGCCGATGCTGAGCCATTTTGTTGTAAACATTTTTAGTCTCTACGAACATGTTTAACTGAATTACATTAATAAAACAAAATTTAAAAAAATAAAAGAATTATTTTCTTACATTTTTTAGTACTTTCTACGTAATTTTCGGTTTTTTCAATTATTTAAAAAATTTCAAAGAAAATCAAAAAACGGCTTTCTTTATGAGCATCAAGATTCAGTATTTTTATTTTTTATTTATTTAAATCAATTTTTGATGAAATCGTAAATATTACTCCACTTTAAAAACATATATACCGAACTTTGCTCCGAAAAGTTTTTCATTAGCAACGGTTTTCTTGAAACTAATATTCTCTAAAAGATGAGAATAGGACATATTTGATAGAATATGATGGTTCTTTGTTTGTATACCTTCTTAACATCTACATCAGTGGCACATGCGTTCTCAGTATCAGCTCATTTTTTTTTTTTTTATAAATTATGGTTCAAGTACATTCATCCCATTATTATAATAAAATCATAATATTTCATTATGTCGTTTTAAAAACTTGATTACAAATTTTGATACACGTATAGCAAATAATAATTGCAAATTAGATGCAAAATAATGACGCTGGTCTAAAGGAGATTGGACAAAGTCGGGGGACCAGCTCACTGTTACAAAAAAGTCTATAGGCCCTAAAGTATCGAGTTGCAAATTTCGAAACGTGTATTTCGAATTGTTTCAAAAAAGTTACAAAATAATGGCATTGGTTTGGTTTAGATCGAACAAAGTTGGGGGATCAACTTCACGGACGTACAATAAAAGTCTTTCCCAGAACAACTTAAGTTAATTAGACGGAAATATTACAGCGTTAATATTATTTTGCAATAGCTCACAAAATCCCGACTGCAGGTTCGCAGTATAGTGGTTATTGTGAAGTCAATCTAATTTAGTAAGTGTCCTAAGTCCTAAAACACCTGTACCTATCTATATTTTATACTTGGTGGTTACGTATAATATAATAAAGGGAAAAGGAAAAGGGATTAAACGGTGTCAAAGAATACTCGTGGGGATGCGATAGAAACGACCAGACCACTGATTATGGATTTGTACGTGCCAGTCGCTTACAACTGTTTAAAAGTACTTATATATATATATATATATGTATTTTATTACAAGCGTTATAGTTCATATGATTACAAGTAAATGCAACGGATGGTTCGAAAATTCGACACGTGTCTCCAAGGTTAGGCAGTTACTCAGCTGCAGTCTTATTATACTACGACAGTTCACTGAAAATGTTAATTCTTAAAGTACCTAGGTAATTATTAAAATATTAAAATATTATTGCTGTTTGATGTAAAAGGGAGAGAGACTAACCGATTTTGAACACATGAGCTTGTCGCGTGATATGTAAAAATGAATTCAAAGAAAATACCTAGTCATTATCATCTACGATCGCCAGTACCTACATACTCGTATCTATACGATGCAAGTTTTGGACCAGGAACGTTTGGGCCTCTAATAAAACTACAACCCGTTTGGACCAGGATTTAGTGAACCCGTTTGGACCAGTACTATTAAATTTCTATAAAGGTTCGCTAAATAAACGTTGAGTTAAACTAATATAAGGAAAATTTTGGGTCCAAACGGGCTGTATAAAAGTACCACTAAAATTTTTAACTGAAACGGGTCTTCAAAATTGGTCTAAACGAGTTGTTTCAGAAAATTCGGTACAAACGGGTCCTGCCCATCTATACTACGGTTACCATTATGACGCAACTCTCATCTATAGCAAGTGCATAGTCATTAGTCAAAATGCATTATTTTGAATACCTAGATAATGGAGAAGAGTGCAGCTATTGGTGTAGGTAGGAATATTAATGTGGTAAAACGGGAATTTAATGTGAATCGGTAAGCAGCGATAAACCATTGATAACGAAAAACTATTCTGAGCGGAGTTTAATTGATAGTGATGCTTTATCAACAATATATATTCCATATTATAGTAAAATAATTAAATACGCTCTATATATTTTCTCTGATAATATTTATTTAATGTTGTACCGATTTCCCCAGTTTTCCTACATTTTTCTCGGTTTTCCCATGTTTTTTCCCAGTTTTTCACATTTGCTAAGAAGCTTCCGGAAATAACCGAAAAATGACCCCTTAAAAGTACTTCCCCATTGGAATTTCCTTTTAGAAAAATTGCTATCCTTATAAGTCGGAGCAAAACTGCTGGTAAAAAAATCGTACACGGGAAAAAAGAATGCCATAATATTATTAGCTAACATAAAAATTTCTTACATTTTCCCGTTTTTGTTTTCGGTTTTTCACATTTTTCGAGAAAACTCCGAGGAAAATGGAAAAACAACCTCCTTAAAGGGGCACCTCCTCATACAGATTTCCTTTCAGAAAAGATGCTACATGAAGAAACCTGAGCAAGTCTTCTGGTAGAAAAGTAGCATACAGATAAAAAAAAAATAAAAATATATTTGTAAAACCATAAGCTTCTTTGCTCCACTCAGTATCTAAAACGTCAAATATTGAGGCCTTACAACATACTTTATGGAATTCTGTGGACAACATTTTTACCAGCAATTTCGTTCCGATTTTCAACGATTAAACTTTTTCTAAAAAGGAATCTGACTGAGGAGGTAATCATTTTACCATAGTATGACATATATATTGTTCACAAATCAACGCTATCAACCGAACTCCGCTCAGTATCGTTTTTTTGTTAGCAATGGTTAATCGTTGCTTACAGATATATGGTACATTAAATTATCTATAACAGTGGCTGCACCCGTCCCCATTATCCTAGGACAGCTTTTTTATTTAGTTTTTTAGTAACCCATCGTCATGAAATTGTTGTATTTTTTCATTTGTATACAAACAGAAAATAATGTATACAAATCATAATAATGTAGATAGTTTCGAATTAAAATTTAGAAAAAAAAAAATGCTACAACGGTGATGATATACAGACAGTGTTTACTTATTTCTTTATTTGGGTTGATCGACATTTTATTATACATACATGATAGTCTATTTGAACTGTCTAGCTACCGTTTGCCAATAATATAAATTTACAAAAATAACAGTATAAATAACGAAGAGGTTCTATTCCTCCCCTCCGTTCGGTTCGCTCGCCATCCACTGTTACTCGTGTAATACGGTATAATACATGCTAGATACTTGTATAAATACAAAAACTTTTTAAATAACAATAATTACAATAATTATAAATAATAATAATAACATAATTTTTCGCGCACTAATTGCACTAGCATTGTAAATCCATTTATTAGTAAAACTTCGTAAATAATTGTAATATAAAATTAAATGAAAAAAAAAACGGCATGCCAAACTTTTTAAGCGAGTTCAAAAATCCGAGTTAAAGGTAAAAGTTTCAAAGGTAAAACGTAAAAATAACATTATTAAATCGTTATTATAATTATTTTGCAAGGTATCGTCAGCAATTTTATGGAATGTGGAACTTTTTACCGCCACATAGCAAGAATAATATAACGCGTATACGTACTCTACGCATGTTTTGTATTTGACACGTTTAATTCAGATGTGCAGCTTCAAAACTATCGGTAAAATTCATCTACCTCGATATGGAAACTTTTCAGGGACGGTAACAAGAGATAGTATTAAAATAATTATATTCGCCTAATAATGCCTTTTAATGACTTTAAACCATAACGAGTACGAATACAACAAACGTTATTCTGATCGATATTGGAAGATGAATGTCTAACCATACAGAGACGCTGCACCGAACAAACAAATACTTAATATGATAATGAAACGTTTCCTCAAGTGTTAAATATAATACTATACATTTTAAGATCGCGAATTTATTTGATTACGTAATAGGTACATAATATTATATCGATTTGCATAATACTTTATTATAATAATGCGAAAACAATAGATTCAAACGATTTGACGAAGTGAAATCCAATACTATTTAAAAAAAAAAAATAACGATGGTATTGTTTTTTTTTCAAAATAGTTATTTGTTTATTAACGACTTGTAAATGTAATTTTAGGTACATAGTATAGTACCGCGGTATATTACTGTAGTATATTATATTGCGATGCGGAATTTGATGCACACCTCCACATTCTTTTGGGCTCTATTATTAAATTAATATACCGGTTTCTTAGGTTTAATTATATTAACATAATAGTAATACGAATAATAAATGTGTACGGATAATATTATTCTAATATTATTTCCTAAGCTAAACAAATACATATTTAGTGTCATAATACATAATTATTATTTATTACAAATATTCGAGAAATTATTAGATTATATTAATAGCTAAGATAAAATAAACACGAAATCACTTTGCGAGCATATTTTTATAAGTAATATTCTCATAGTCTGGTTTGATATCGATTTCAATGTCACGGATGGTTGTAAATATAGGCACGAGTTCAATAGAAAGTAAAAATGAATTAATAAATTCTGATTTTAACAGAAGGAAAAAGCAAACTCGACATCGCAGAATAGTGTTCCACTCAAGTTGTACAGACTTGTTTGGTCACTATGCCAATAGTTTCCAATGCCGACATACGCAAACGCAATTCACCCGAACCAGTCTTACTAATGAATATACGACTTGTTTATCAGTGTACCGTTCATAAAACTACTCGACGACATCATTTAGAGCTCAGTGTAGTGTGTGAATTTGATCGAGACGATGTATTAATAATAAAAAAAAAAAAATTAAATTTTCTATAACCAAAACATGAGTTTTTGCATCTCGCGGTGGTTCGCACCAGCGAATACGGCCAGTTTAATCTTACTGTTAAGTTTGATGTGTTTTACCGGGAACATAACTACCCAGATGTTTCCATTAACACCAATCATGAGAAACAATGGCAATGCAAAACAATTATCCACTGCGGCATCGACCACTCCAGGAGTGTCAGAACGACTAGAAAATTCGGAGCCATCCATTTTTGTGTCGATGCCAAAACTTGGAGCAAATAATGGAGCACTTTTGAAAATGAATAACCAAGGAATTGGTACAACGGTCGGCCTAGGAGGTTCTTTGGGCTCCGGAATTTCAGGTAAAGGAATCATCGATTTATCACCATCCACCGGAATTAACGCAGGTGAGTTGGAAGTAAAAGACCGGGGATTAGGTGCTTCGGTTGGCATGGATATTTCGTCCGGATCAGGCATACAAGGGCCAAAAATCGGTGGCTCATTGACTGCAATCACACCCGATGGAGCTGGATTGGGAGTGCAGGCTCAGGGAATAGGTCCATCGATCGGTATAGGAGCTTCGCTGGATTCCAGTATTGCAGGATCAGGAAATATGAAACCACTACCATCGATTGAGGCCAAGGTCAATACTGACATATCAGAAGAAATAAAGGGCGGAGGATTAGGTTTATCGGTCGGCCTAGGAGGTTCTTTGGGCTCCGGAAATTCGGGTAAAGGAATCAACGATTTATCACCATCCACCGGAATTAACGCAGGTGCGTTAGAAGTAAAAGACCGGGGATTAGGTGCTTCGGTTGGCATGGATATTTCGTCCGGACCAGGCATACAAGGGCCAAAAATCGGTGGCTCATTGACGGCAATCGCACCCGATGGAGCTGGATTGGGAGTGCAGGCTCAAGGAATGGGTCCATCGATCGGTATAGGAGCTTCGCTGGATTCCAGTATTGCAGGATCAGGAATAATGAAANTGGATGTAAAAGACCGGGGATTAGGTGCTTCGGTTGGCATGGATATTTCGTCCGGATCAGGCATACAAGGGCCAAAAATCGGTGGCTCATTGACTGCAATCGCACCCGATGGAGCTGGATTGGGAATGCAGGCTCAAGGAATGGGTCCAACGATCGGTATAGGAGCTTCGCTGGATTCCAATAATTTAAAGTCGAAAACTATGGTGCCACTACCTTCAGTTGAAGCTGACGGTATTGCTAGCATATCAGAAGTTAAGGATGAAGGATTTGAATCATCGGTTGGCGTTAAAGCGGCTCTGGGTTCTAATTCTTTGGGATCAGAATCTATCAGAGCACAACCGTCAGTAGGAGTTAATGGCACCTCTAACCTGTCGGAAGTGAAACAAGGATTAGGTATATCAGTTGGCATGGAAGTTTCTTTGACCAAACAAGCAATGGAAACATCAGTTGACATGGGATCTTCAACAAGTATCAATCAATTTGAAACAACGACTATAAATTTATCTTCACAGACTGAAACTATCACCGAAACAACAGAATTTAGAGATGGGCAGAAGGAAATTTCTAATGACAACAGTATGCCACAGGGTTTTCGGAAACAATTAGATTTGACGACCTTGAAAACGTTACCATCAACTGAAGTGTACGAAGAAACAACGGATATCAAGGACTACCAAACAATGTACGACGTGGATGTTTCAACGTCATCGTCAGAAAATTTGGGCATCGTGGATAAACAGCCAACCACTTTTGAATATTCTGAACCCATGGGTACTTCATCTGTCAGTACTGAAAAATCATCCGAAACATGGATACAAAAGATACCTACGACAGAAAAACTACAATTCAGAATGCCAAAAGCTCCGCCGCAAGCATCTGCAGAACATTATATATACTCTGGCAAAGCTGTGTGGTTTGGTCAAATAATCACTAACGTACTTTATGGAGCTCCTTGGTCAGCGTATCAGACCAATTCTAAATGTGTGGATGACATGCGAACATACAACATGCATGTGCAGAATTACACTTTATGGGCTTCCAAAAGTAAGTGACTACATTTGATTTTAAATCGAGAATTATTATTATTAACCTCAATCATTCATATTATCATCACCAGTTAGTATTTTTTTAATGCTCATCAATATGTATTATATTATTATATTGTTGTTCTTTAATGGAAATTATGACTTTAAAATAATAATCAGTCTGATGTACAAATAAAACAAATACTAAAATAATAAACGGTACTGATTTTTGTGATAAGTATAAATTAAATTTTTCGTTCCTTTTTAAATTAGGACGTTATTTTGGACATACAGTAAAAAGATTTTGATTTATGACCTAGGACAAAGGGGCGCAAGGTCAATTTTAGATGCGATTATAATTAAACGTAAAAATAATAAATAAATGATATAATTATTTTATCCGAGATATTCGACGGTATTTTAATAAACATTAACAAAATATAAAAATAAATGTTCCAATTTAACAGTCAGAAATATTTTAGGCAATGCCTCTCAAAAATGACTAAACTCTTCTATATTTATAATAATGATAAAATTATATTGTTATACATGTAATAATTGCATATAAATAAAATTATTACATTAATACGTTTTTTTTTTCATTTTCGTCTAAATATCTTCACGCCCAAACGGCGATGTTTAAATGTCCGCATCCATTTGTCCTTGTTCGAAGAGTTTTATATCGGAGTATATTCCTCGGACCTGGCAAATGTATTGTTTGTAGATTTATGTTCACATATTTTCGGTTATATAATACAATACATCGTCATAAAAATTACTATTGATGTAGCTTATTGATTTTTTTTTCGATTTCATTATATTCACAAGATCCGAGTAATCCAAATATATAAAAAATAATACATACCTATATTTTAAAAATACCTCATACAGCCTCTTACTAACATTAACTGTTTTATAATTTTAATAAATTCCCATGCTTAATTATTGTATACAAAGGATAAATATCGCATATTATTCTGTCGCATATGTTTGTAGCTATGGTATAGGTAAAGCATTAATTTGCATTAAATACCTCTTGCGTTTAGAAGCTTCACAAACAAAATATAATATAGTAAACAATCTATTTATAAATTAAACATATATTAACTTCATGTTTGAGAATATATAAATTATAAAAAATGGCCATATATCATAAATACAATTTTCCGTTCAGTTAAAAATGTATACATTATAATACATGTAGGTACTTACAAAGATGTTAAAATTCTAACAGAATTAGTGTTAAAATTATAAAATAATGCTCGGGTGGTAATAAAAAAAAACCTTTTTAAAAACCTAACAAGAATATAAGAAGTAAACAATTTAACTAATCAAATAGTTTTGGATCAGCGATTTCTTTAAGGGTAATAAATTATGTATAAATAACTTTTATACGCATTTTTGTATTTTAAAAATGTAGTGTTGTAAATCTGTGTTAAACAATGTAATGACTCGTATATTTTAATTATAAAATGAGTATCAAAATTAAAAAATGAAACGGACAACGAAATTATAATCATTAGATTATCTTCAGCAATAATTGTTTGACTTTTGCATTCTTATTTTGTGAAAATAAATATTGTTAAACACTTATTATAACGTCTATTTATGTATGTATTTATCTATGTATGTATTTTTTTACCATAAACCAGCAATTTTCTCTAAGAATTTGAAGTAAATATATTTTCTGTTTTGTTTTTTTAATCATTTAAGCTTTATTTTAACACCATTTTTAATTTTTTAGTCCCACTCCATATACCTTAAATAGGTTTATACTTTTGGTTTTCAAATCAGAATCCCACTTTTAGAACACAGATTCAAATATACAATAATCTTTTAGACACTTTGGTATGCATAATACTAATATCAGATTTACCGTTTACGAGTTATAACAGTTTAAAGTTTAGACAGGAGGATGTTGGAAGGGTAATAAATTGCATACACATTTTTAAATAATAAATTCACCAATCTAAATGAAAAAGTACGAATAATTTTTTTTTGAAAAGTGCCTGTTTATTTATTTGTTACAAACAATATGAATTCAAAATTTAGTAATAAAAAGATGAGAACTCTCCACAATTGTTTCAAAATAATCAATTTTACTTAAGATACAAACAGGAAAAAAACATGATAACAAAATAATAAATAATTTATTCAGTTGCATGATTAGGAATGAGAATAAATGTTTGTTGAATAATTTTTTTAAAACAATAGACTTCCCCTCTCATAAGATCCGAGAAGGTGTAAACATTTAAATATCCCTGATCACAAAAAAAATGTTGCGACACCAAAAATCTTAACCTATGAACGCCACTTTTTGGTATAATATATTCATATTAACAGCGATAAATTATTTATTTTTAATAATCAGTTAGATGATGTTTTAAAAAATATTATAAATACAAATATAATTAACATAAATACACGTGATGTATAGCTATTACACAATGTGTTGTTTTTGGTTTTCATAAAATTGATTTTAAATATTTATTTAAACATACTTAAAGCTGATTATATTAATATATTTAATTATACTTAATTATACTTTATAATTAGGACCAGATATTCATAATTAGGCAATTGTATCAAAAATCTTGGGAATTTGATAAAGAGGTTCACACACTTTTCGTGGACTTTAAAAAAGCGTATGATAGTATCCATAGAGAGAGTCTATTGAATATTATGAAAGAATTTCATTTTCCACAAAAGCTGGTCAATTTAGTATCTATCAGCGTCATGGAGACCTTGATAAGGATCCAGATAGGAAATTTAGTAACTGAACCGACAACAGTGAACTCGGGGCTAAGACAAGGTGATTCGCTATCGCCGATTCTGTTCAACGTGGTTTTGGAAAAGGTTATTAGAGAAATGAAAATTGGTTCTAACGAGGGTATTAGATTACAAGACACGTCGATAGGTCTACTTGCTTATGCTGACGATATAGTATTGATGGAAGAGTCTCAGGATAGATTGAAGATTTTATTCAGTAGATTGCATAAAGCAGCATCAAAAGTAGGACTATGTGTAAATGAAGAAAAAACGGAGTATATGTTTTTGAGTAGACGGGGACTACCTTTTTGGCAATCCATAAAAATAGATCAATATGAATTTAAAAGGGTAGAACAGTTCAAATACCTAGGGTCTATTTTGTCTGAGAAAAATAATGTAGCAATCGAGGTAGCAGCAAGAATCCAAGCTGGGAATAAATGTTACTATGGACTGACTAAGGTACTAAGCTCACGAGTAGTGTCGCGAAGAATGAAAGAACAATTATATACGTCCTTAATACGACCGGTTGTAGTGTATGGATCGGAAACATGGCCACTCAGAAAAATGGATGAGCATAGATTCATGGTCTTTGAAAGAAAAGTGTTGCGGAAAATATATGGCCCGGTCAAAGATGAAATAACTGGTGAGTGGAGACGAAGAAAGAACTTAGAGCTGGAAACACTATACAGCAGTTCAGATATTTTGGAGGTCATCAGAGGCAGAAGACTACGGTGGACTGGCCATGCTTGGAGGAGCCAAAATCCACTATTACATGCTGTGATTGAACAAAACCCTGTAGGTAAAAGACCTCTGGGGAGACCAAAAATGCGATGGGAAGACAATATAAAAAAGGATGTTGAACATTTAGGAGGCTGTGCCAATTGGAGAAATCTGGCATTAGATAGAGAAGGATGGAAGCTTGGTTGTGAGACGGGATGGTCTTAACGGCCCAATAAACCCAAAAAAAAAAAAAAAAAAAATACTTTATAATTATATTATACTTTAATTATATTTAATTATTATTTAAACATACTCAATTATTTTTTCTATTACGCATTTATACAAATAACATAATATTATATAGTAGATTATTATTTTGGTTGAAAAATGAATAAAAATAACCAATGACGTCAGATATTCATATATATTTTACTAATACAATGCAAGGACGATTTTGGTTGTTTTTGGTTTTCATAAAATTGATTTTAAATATTTATTTAAACATACTTAAAGCTGATTATATTAATAGTATATTAATATATTTCTCAATTATTTATTCTGTTACGCATTTATACAAATAACATAATATTATATAATAGATTATTATTTTGGTTGAAAAAAGAAAAAAAAAATAACCAGTGACGTCAGATATTCAAATATATTTTACTAATACAATGCAAGGACGATATATCAATATTTCGTACACTATCGCAAACTTCCAAACATACGGGGTTATTAGGTGAAAAATTGTAAAGGTAGGATATAGATGGGAATTAATGTATACCTATACTCAACGAATGACTGAACAAAAAACGGTTCTGAGCGGAATTCGGTAACACGTGTTTTGTAAGGCCATAATAATTACGATTTTCGTCAAATTTAATACTAAAATTCTTATAAAAAAAAAACTCTACATGGCACTCATTTTTTTTTCACATTAAGTACTACTTTAATAGACTTTCAAGCATTTCTGTTTAATCTAACAATTTTATTCACAAATATAAATTACGTAAAAAACTCCCAAATTTATGTATTTATATAATTGTATAAAATTATATATATAAATAGCTTTAAAATGACTAAAATGTTTTGTACATTTTACCACGTCTAAAAAAAGTTAATATACGTTTTTTGTCCAAATTTCAAGTTTCTATGAATATGTTAACTGAGTTACAATAAAAAAACCAAAATTAAAAATAATATAATCGTAGATTTTCCCGTTTTGCCTATCTTTTTGCCCGGTTTTTTCACAATTATTAAGAAAATTTTTTGAAAAATCAAAAAATAACCTTAAAATTTTCTTTCACAAAAGATACTACACTTGAAAATCAAATCAAGATTTCTAGAAGAAAAATTATTTAAAGGTAAATTAAAAAATACAAAAATTAATATTATTATTTTTAAAGCAATACATTTCTCGCTTCGCTCAGAATATAAAATAATCTCTTTCTCTTTGTTCTCCTACGCATATTATCAAGTTGACCCACACTTCGTGAAGAAGGCTTAAGTAATTTGATCAAAAGAGGCTAGGCTCCCAAAACCCCCTCAATCGTTTTTGTTTTATAGATGATGGGTCTCCCGAATTTTGTAGGTTTCACGGGTAAAAAAAGTTCACCACGCCACTAGAAGGAAGTGTAACCCACAAAAATTATCGCGATCCAAATGTTATAACAATATTCCAAATATGTGTTTTGATGAAATCGCTACACTAAAAAAATGATAATACTGTATCTACCATAGGTCGAGTTAAAGTTCACTACTAATTAATGTGATTACGTTTATACACATGAACACACAGACCAAGAGGAAGGAGCGATTGAAATATAACAATATAACATAACGTTTTCCCCGTTGGAAAATTAAAAAAAATCTAAAATTTTACCACGGATTAATTACGTACCTAAGAACAATAAATAGCTGAATAAAATATTTGTCGATATTTTGACATTTTCTTTCCTGTCCCAAAAGCCAAAGTACAATCAAAAATGCTGTATGAAGTGACAAGGCCAAAAGTTAGACTTCGTTCTCCCCCAATAGTCACAAATTAAATTAAATTGTTGTCGACCTGCATAATGTTATGTAATATATACCTACCTAACATAATGTTTGTAAACATCTATTTTTATTATTATTATTATTATTTTTTTTTTTATTTGAATACATGAAAACATCAAGGTGAATGGCATTGTTATATTGTATACAAATATAAATAGTTACCCGATACAGTAATATTGTCACGATGTATACATCTGTAACACTGGCCCCTCGCAATTTATAACTCGTTTTCTTATTCGTTTGAATGACGTACAACAAATGTAGTTTTCCTTGTAAACCGATAGCTTGTAAGTTTCCTTGTATTTGAAATAAAATAATAGTAGTTTTAAAGAAAAAAAAAAAACTCCGTAATAAATAATTACGTTTAAATTAATAAAAATGTAAATTTTTTAGTAATTGAAAATAATATAAGTATTAAACGATGAGTACCTATATAAAATATTCGGATTACGTAATTTTTTTTTTCTAATCAAATGCAAACAAAACGTAGATACATCAAATCATACATCAGAATCGAATAAAATGTTTTTTATTCTATATACGAGCGTATACAACACAATAATAATATTTGCAAGAGTGCAGCTCCGCTCTCAAAATGCGTTTCTAATTTCATAACCCAGTGTCCGGTGAGACTCTTGGAAATTAATAATATTAACAATTAAATTATTAAATCCCCAATGAACCCATGAATTCAAACTTGATGAAAATCTATCGTAATAGTTTGAAACCGCCTCTTAGCTCCAGTTATAATAAATATTACCAATGTTTCGATTCTCATTAATTATCTTGGTTGATAATTAGTTGAACGTACCGGATTGGAGATTTTGGCTAATCGTACTCAATATCTAAATAGCCTAATTAAACAGCTTACATACAAAATGGTCAATTTAAGTGGGTATAGTCGTTATCTCGGAAAGTATTTACTTTTTCAGCCTTTTTTTTTTTTAAAAAAAAAAAACATTTAAGAAACGATCAGTTTTACAATTTTACATTGACGTAATTTTTTTCACCCTTATTTTGTGAGTGAAACCACTATCTACTTTAGATTTTTAAATGAAACTTATATTAATAATTTCTCATATAGGTGGAGTATAAGTTTATATTATTTTTGGTTTAGAAATGTTTGATTTTCATCAACCGTTGACGATTGAATAGGATTCCACTACTCTACCTCTACCCAAAATCAAAAGTAGATTATCTCATTTACTAATTGAAGAAAATCAAAAAAAGGCCACATTAAAATGAGTTTAAACTAATACTTCATTTATTATTTTTAGAATTTCCAATAAAGTTACTGGAAATCAAAAGTCGGTAGTGGTTTTATTTCCAAAACTGAGGGTGACAAAAAATAACTTAAATGTGAAATTATGTAGCTGTTTGTTTCTTTAATGTACTATAAAACAAGTTCCAAAAAACTTGAAACTTTCCCAGATAATTAGTGTACTCACCTTAATGCATTACCTTGTATAGGATGATAATGTTTGGGGTATCACTATCCCCCATCGAAATTTTTCACCTAAAAATCCAGTAGCGTAGCCAAGAAGGATGGTACGCCCATTTATCATTATGATGCTGTATGCTTTTATAATCTGAGCATAAAAAGGAATTTATTGGTTATACTATGATGTATTGTTTCTTTTTTTTTTTTAATTTTTTTATTGATTATAAGGTTTTCTCAGCATTATAAAAATATCGAAAATCGGTAAAAACATATCGCCTAATTTACAAGTTTTAACTCCTCCCAAAAAAACTCAGATCTAAATAAACCACTGTAGTCCTATAGTTGTATACTATATTTACCTAAAGGACTAATTCATAATCGATTTTACCAAACAGTATTATGAAAAAAACACGTGGAATACGAAAAACACTTGGAAAGATTGCAACACGTTTTATAGACAATAAATAATACAATTTAACATTTTCCACTACTCTTTAACTTTTTATATTAATAACATTTGTTTGATATCATAGAATATGACATTATTTTATTATAGTCATCAGTACCGGCCCTTCGTGCTAAGTACGATAGTACGATGAACTTTTTAATGAAGGTATCATTAGATAATATGAAACATTAATATCATATGTTTATTTCTGAATATTAGATATCTGAATATTTATTATAATAGGTACATTTTTATTTATAACATTTTTTTTCAGTTATTATCACATCTTTAGGTTCTTCTTTTTATATACAATTAACATGATATCACCTTATCTAGTACTGATTAATAATTTCGAATAAGTAAAATAGGTGTTCAAAGAAATTGTTTTTAGAAATTATAGATTATTAATAAACTATTATAGTTAATCGCTATAGTAATATACAGATTGTATTTAAGGCTAGATTAATTCACATAAACCATAAAATTAGGCCTAATATTAGATTTAAGTATATATGTATTTCAATTTGTCTAAAAGATTGAAATTCAGAAGAACGGAAACATTTTAAAACTTGTGCAAAATAAAGTAGCGTAATAGGTAACAGTGTTTATAAATTTATATTTATTAAATTAAAAATTATAAAATTTACTAAATTTACTAAATTTAAACGTTTAGAAAATAATTATAATAATTAATAATCACTATAATTATACTTCCTTATAAGCGAATCATTTTACAAATTTACAAATACGAATACAAATTTTTATTGAAATACAATAGTGTATAAACTATTTAAATATGGAGTTCATGTCAAATTTCAAATGATTTTGACGTATTTTTCGGTTTTCGTTGAACTCAGAATATAAACAACAACAAAAACACCTTTCGAGATATCAGTTACCTGTCTTATCTGTGTTCAAATTGGGTACCCGTAATAGCCGCATGCAACTTTTTAAACATTTTTATTACTCTTAAAAGTTTTAACCAAAAACACACATATTATTGTTGTAAAACAAAATAGTATAATGTGTACTTACTCGGTCCACTCCATAAAATTCATTAAAATGCATAAAACGTATTTTTCTCATTTATGGCATCTGTTACCTATGTCGTCGCATTATGTAACACCGTGTAAAAATAATTTGTCTTTATTTTTCCATTTTTAAAAATGTATTTAAATAAATACTTATTGCATACTTTAATTTAACTACATACCTATGAACTAGACAACGATATCGGTAGAAAGCAAAAGTCTCATTTCACTCACCTCAGTAAATATAATTATTTTATAATATTATAATAAAATGTGCGTCATATTCCAAAAAAAATATTACTCCTGAAGGAGTGATTTTTAAAAATGAACGCTTATTTTGGTCGTCTTATCTGGGGTATAAAACGAAAATTGTTCACTTTAAAATAATACATTTATACATAATTATCAAAAAAATAATTTTATTTGAAGAACTCTGAATCAAAAAAAAAAAGGTTAAATTGTTTTTTCTTGTCCATCCAGAAATTTTGTAAAATATTTTATATTGAATTTAACTATGAAAATTGTATTCACAATATACTTGTTACAAGAAAATATAATTGATTTTAAGTTTTAATCCAAATTCCTATGTAATAATTATTTTTTCTTTTTATTGCATACGTTTTTTTTTTTTTTTTTACTTTATTATCAATTTCACTGATATTTTGTGTAATAATATCATAGGTCATAATAATATTGAGTTTTATATGTATACAGTGTTAGATGCTACATCAAAAGGACCTGAAGGACTTTTGGATGGAAATACTTTCAGTTTCGGAAATTTCGACCAATGTATGAGTACGAAATCTAAAACTCAAGGTATATCAGGTGGATACAGTTTAGTCGATATAGATTTTCGACCTAGTTTGGACGTGTACCCGGGATTTTACGACGGCGATCACTCGAAAGATTACGACCCACCTGACGAAGATAAGTCGATGTGGGAAGCAATCAAAGTAATTACTATAATAATCGTATATTATTTTCCGTTCAATAGTATTCAATAAAATAACCAGTTCTCGTAATATTATCATTGCGGCACAACTATATAAACAAACTTGATAATTGATTAATTAAGGTCAATCAATCAAGAACTGTATTTTAATATTATAAAATCGTGTTTATTATTTATATACTATATTTTTTTATTATAGGTACTTACAATTTTGTGTTATTCGTCTTTTTTATTATACTATATTATTGGTATATGGTTTTAATAGCCATTAATTTGAATTGCCTTCGACGTCCGCTTAAATATTGTTAAACAATAATTTCCCTTTATTAAGTCATATTATTTTAATTTGTTTAGCATAATGTACAGGAAGATTTCGTTCAACGCCACATGTACCAATGGGCAGTTTGTTTACCAGACACCTGTCAATCGGAAGATGTCCAAAAGATCGTGAGCAACGCATTAGTACCGGAGTTGAAACGTTTTGGATTTGAAGCCAACGTGACCATTAACCCATTATTGCACACATCTATTAAAAACACATTCAAATACACGGCGGGTTTCTACTTTGTCTGGTAGGTACTCGACAAAATTCGAATAAGTACTTTGATGTGGGTAAAACGGGTAGGTACTAGATATACCTACCTATTTCGGTATGTAATATTAATATTCGTCGTCTGTTTTAATATTATATTTCCATATTTACAGTGCGATGTATGCATCCGTCGCCATATTTGTCTTTATAGCTACTTTATACGATTTGATTTACTTGCAATACCGACCCAAATCTAAACACGGTCCAATGAGTAAGTTTGTGTATACTTTTTGTTTTGCATGCATACATTTATCGTATTTCTTTATTTCGACAGAACAAATCATGAAACCGTTTTCACTTATCTCGAATTTGGAACGATTGCTGAAACCATCGGAAACCGAAGAATTTTCAATAATCAACGGACTTAAAGTGTGTGCCATTTTACAAGTTATCATTGGCCATAGGTGGTTCATGGAGTTCGGTAATCCACAATCGAATCCCATATTTGTTCACTGGGTGTGTACACAATTATTATAATTTATTACCTACACCTTAATAAAAAAAATAAAAACAGTGATGGTATTTGTTTAGGTTATCCATAACGTCTGGTTCGGATACTTTAAGTGTACCATATTTTTGGAAACGTTCTTTGTGATCAGCGGATTTCTCACTTTCCATATCATCACAAAACAACTTACCGAAAAAAAACGTTTGAACTTTATACCCATTATGATTTACAGATGGTTAAGGTAGATGCTTAATTAAAACACTGTACTATAGGAAACGAAATAGGTGAGAAAAATATAACGTTTGTTGCATACTTGCAGAATATTCCCAGTTTACGGTACTCTCATAGCGACGTATATTTTCATACTCCCGTATCTAAATGACGGTCCTTATTGGAGGGAGATCATATACAGAGAATCGGAAAGATGTCAAAACAATTGGTGGACAAACATGCTGTTCATTAACAATTATGTTCACACCGATCAATTGGTAATTCAATAAACTATATTATACTACTGACCGTTATCCGCGTTACGTCCGCGTAGTTGTTCATGGTGTTTTCTCTCTACGGGGTGTACGAAAGATAAATATATCATTGCTGTAGATAAAACGTGAACAGGCTCTAAATAGTTAGAAACAGCAACAGAAAATTAAACGAATTAAAAAAAAAAACGAAAACGATTTTCATCGAAATTACACTTATTCCGCTCATTCCCTATTTTACCTGTTTTTCCAAAGTCGACTGTTCACACAACATTCAGTTTTGCAATCATGTGCTAATACCAAAATCGACCATTGATTACTTTCGCACATTCAAAATTTGACTGGCGTATGCACACCGGATCTCCCCTCATTTGACATACACCGTAGGACCTAGAAACTTTTAGACCGCGCGAGAAACATTCCTGGATATTCTAGGAAAATTCCTCGTCGGCAAAATATCGATGTCAGTAAACGGTATAACAATATATATATACATGAGTGATGTAAAAGTAAACGGTCTTGTCGTAGACAGGGTGAAAAATCAAAGTTTGTCAGTAGTCGATGATAAATGCACATGCACACCGTCCCGGAACAATGGTAATTCCAAGTTTTATATCGGGTGAACGTGTCGCCCCACAACCGCGCACCCTGTTTTAGCCGATGGCTAGTCAGGAGGCGCGGAGGTTCAGGAGGATCCGGAGCAGCAGGCCGGTCCGGCGTTCTCTCTTGTCGTTCTAGAGACGACAAGCGCTGCGGAATCCCAAACGCTGCCCATCCCCCACCGTGCTCGACCGGGAGTATCGTCGGGCCGTAATCCTCCACCGTCGGTTTACCCGGATCGGGGAACGTCCCTGAGCTCTGAGTGGACTCTTACACGGAACGCTCGCTCGTGTTTTGCCCGTACAGTCTCCGTCTTCGATATCAAGCCGGGCTTACAGCTGTCGCCATACCACTACCCGAGCAAAAGATGAACGGAATCCCAGAACGGTTAGACCCAAAAATCACATCAAATTACGTTATACAAATCGATCAACATAAGACATTCGTTATCTCGGAAAATATTAACTTTTTTCGGAATTTGTATTTTAGAAAATTTAAGAAATTAATAGCTCTGAAAGTGTATATTATTCTTTTATTTGTCAGCCTTATTTTAGGGAGGTGAAACTACGAACTCCTTTTGATTTTAAAATGACAATCTGTGTTTAAAATTCCATAAATAGATGGAGTATTAATAAAAATCAATTTTGGTGTTGAAATTTCTGATTTCCGTCAAACCGTTAACGAGATATTCTACTTTTAATTTCCGACGGAGGCAAAATAGCGGTACACCGTTCGTGTAGTGGCACGGCGTTTTATTAGTGTTCCACCACTCTCCTCCCGCTGAAACTTAAAAGTAGAATATCTCGTTAATAGGTTGACGAAAAATCTGAAATTTCAAAACCAGACTAATTACTATTGGAAATTTTAATTTAGGTTGCCATTTGAAAATCAAAAGTAGATAATAGATAATTCACCTATTTAGAATAAGGGTAACAACAAATAAATATGATGTAACATTTTAAAGCCGCTTATTTCTTAAATGATCTAAAAAACAAATTCCGAAAAAAATTAATACTTTCCGAGATAATGAATGTCTTACGTTATGTTGATCACTCTGTATATTATTGGATAACCACGGTCCCGTAATATTAAACATCATATGTGCGAAAGAGACAGATGCATTTTCAACCACTTCAAACGCACATAGCTCCACTCCACCTAAATCCACTCAAACCAAATTATTTCGAAATCAATTGAAAATGCTACGCTACCCTCACACACAAACAGTGTATTACAGTCAGTTATTACGGAGATAATCGAGCCTATAGTAGGGCGACAACACGTCCCATATTTCAATTGTGTCCCGTTGTTCCGCCAAGAGTTTTATACGTAACGCATTTTGTCCCGTTTTTCCTAATCTGTCCCGTATTAATCCCGTTTTTCCCATACTATTAATGGATAACTTCTAAAATGTATTTTTTGTCTTTATGACATTGTTCAATAAAATCTCTACTCGACAATGAAATTTTGGATTATTGTTTTGACCATTTGAACGGATTTATTTTGTATTTTTTACGGTATACAATGATCATTGTGATAAACATTTTAAAAACTACTCTTGTAATAAGTTTTACAATAGTTTACTAAAAGATAATAAATTGCTCGATGGAAATTGGCTCATCACACAAGTCCACACAAACAGCGGAAGAAGAAATTGACCGATTATCGTCATCAAAATTAAATTGTTCTTGTGTACAAATATTTTATTCGCATTTACAAAACATTTACAGAGCCCATATTTATTTTTTAGTTTTTGCATTATATTTACAGTTGGGTTAAGGTATGGTACGTGACGTTTAATTTGTGTTTATAAATGTCCCGTATTTTTATGATCGCCCTAACACAAACGCATTTTTATTATTTAATATTAAATTGATTGTGTTTTGTAAATTATAACAATAATAATATAACGCATTTTAAAACCATGTTTGTTCAATTTATAGTGTATCATCCCATCGTGGTATTTAGCGTGCGACATGCATTTCTTCGTAATCGGCACACTGCTCACCTACGCCATTTGGAAATGGACGAAACCCGGTTTGTTGACGCTCGGCGCGTGTTTGATTGCGTCGACAATAATACCAGCTTACGTTATACTAAAAGACCAGCATTGGGGAACAGCGCCAGTTACGCCGGAGTAAGTTTCTGTAGTAATAGTAATAATAATTTGAATAATAAGAGTTAGTGTAATACCTTAAGAGAACGTTACACGTGCATTTGTAGTTTCCGCCTTACAGACGCGCGACATAACAAATTTGTATTTAACAGAACTAATTTTGGGCTGCAATTTAATACTAAAATGAAATGACCAATTAATTATGAAGTTTTTATTTTTTTAGTTATTTTAATTTTTAAACGAAATATGGGCGTATGAAAATAAATAGTATACAATTTATATAAATGTTTATATCCTGACAAAAAATTTAACTATAGTTGCGAGAAAAAAAACCAACGTACAATCATGTACACATATTTACACCTTTAAGTTTGGTTATGCGTCAGTTCACTCAAATATTAAAACTGAAAGTACAAAATCATTTCTGTTTAATAAAAATATGTGTTTGTAAAAAATAGACAAAAAAACGATCGGACATAATTTGCACGACGGATGGGCCACTGTTGTATGTGAGAAGTTGGGAAGGTAGAGGGGAAATTTAATGTAAACCGGTGCGCAACGATTAATCGTTGTTAACGAAAAAAGATTTTAAGCGGAATTCTGTTATACATGTTGTTGTTAAAGGCCGTAATATTTACAATTTGAAAATAATACACATTTCGTACATTTTCTCGTTTTTCCTATTTATTAAGAAAATTCTCGGGGAAATAAAAAAATGACGTTCCTAATGTACCGTCCCAGTCAAATTTCGTTTCAGGAAAGGTGTGTTACAGTTGAAATTCGAAGCAAAATGTCTGATTAAAATTTGATCACAGAAAAAAAACAATAAAAAAAAAATAAACATTATTGCAAAACCAATACATTCCTCGCTCTGCTACCATGTTGTATAGGTACCATTGATCACGTATTTACGAGCGTACTTTTGTATCGATAAACAGCGATATCAATACGACAGAAATCTTAATGGAATTTAAAAAATGTCGCGAATCTAGTTAAAAACCGTAAAAAACAGATTATTAAAAAAAAAAAATAGTTAACATTAGGTTAATATAAAATGCATTATGCTCTTATACTTCTATGTAAACAATATTACTATTGAATTATTTATGTTTAATATAAAACATTTATTAATAAATTATTTTTTCAAAAAAATCAAGTTTTTTTTATAAGCCGGATATAACGTTCTGAATCTTTCGGTTATAATTAAATTTGAAAAACCATGAAAAAAATACAGGAAAACGGGAAAATTTACAAAAATGATGCTTTTATTATTTTCAAAGTTTTGGTTTTTTTGATATAATTCAATTAAAAATGTTCGTAGAGACTTAAAATGTCGACATAATCCTTAATATATTTGCTTTTTGTAGACGTAGTACAATTTTCAAAAAATTTAAGACAGTTTTGAAAATTCAATTGTTATTATTGTAAATATCGGATTCATCTGTAAAAATGTAAAACAAGTTTTTATAAGGTCGGTACAAACATTAGTAAGTTCGTTTAGTTTGTAGTAAAAATAATATATTACTTAATATTTAATTTTACGAGACACTATTTTTTTTTTTCGAATATTTATCAAATTTAAACGGTCCACGTACAATAACCTTAATAATAATATCATACACGTGTTTCTGTACAGTGCACTTCACGATCTCAGCAAAGACAGATTTTACACCAATATATACATAAAGAGTCACATGAGAGCCATGACTTACTTGATTGGCATTTTGGCCGGATACGTGTACATGAAGTTGAAAGAAGCTGATTACAAATTATCACTGGTAAATAGAATATATCGGAATAATATTACGAACTCATATAAATGTATAATATTAAACTAGACCGACATGAGTATAATGCCGAATGTGGGTGTCAAATATTTCACGAAAATTGTAAATGATACAACCTATATTTTATTTTATTTTTTTGCGGGATCAGTTGCGGTAGCATGTTTTATTCAAAACCATCCCTCACGAGAACATCTCTCGCGTCTCGTAGAATAGTCGTATTATTTATAATTATTATTATTTAATTTGTTTTGGAAAGAAGAAGACTTTTTCCGAATTTAACTCCGTTTTACAATATTTCCATCTCAAACGTAATTATGCCTCAAAAAAAAGTCAGTATTAAGCTTGTTTTTTTTTGTACATTTTTTTTATACTATTACGTATTTAAAATCAAATAAAAATCTGAGTTCAATGCGGACTGTAGTGTATTTTTGTATAGTTTATACATTGAAAATGAAATGGTTAACATGCATTCTTTATAATTACCATGAAGTAATATTCATCTGCAATAAAGGCCGTGCAAAGTCCCTTTGCTCTTGAAGTAAGAGGCGGTAAATGGTACTCTTTAAGTAGTGTGTATATCGTGCTATTAAAATTCTAAAAATAATTTTCAAATTGTACAAAATCGAAGAAAATTTGGAAAACCGGCACCAGGACCTGGAACCTCCCATAATTAAATCAATTAACGAAGTGCATTAACGTTTTATTTGTAATAATTTATAGAACAGTCGGATATTCTGGGCTCCGGTCGTCCTAATGATTGGAAACTGTATATATTTGAGTTCCGGAATTTTCTTCGCGTTGGGCCACAAATACGTGGCTTATGAACACGCGATATATTTTACACTCGGTCGACTGGTGTGGTCCGTACTCATATGTTACGGGATCATAGGTCACGGATTGTCCGGATTTGGTATGACGTTTGAAAATATTATCTTGATTATAATATTATATTTTTCCGTTCAACCGTTTGTCTCCCGTGTTCTAAGGTGTTTGTATAAGCGACTTTTTGGGTCATCGAATTTTTCACGTTACCGGAAAATTAGTTTTCTGCATCTACATGTTCCAAGAGATCATTCAACTGCAGACAATCGCTTCTATGAGGACACCGACGTACCAGAACTTAACATTAATGGTAAATTTAATTATGATATAATTTGTTAAATTTGATAGCTGACATGATAATATTGATGTCTCGATAAATGATCGCGGAAAATTGAGCGTGCGGCAATTTGAAAAGAAGACTATATTGAATTCAAAGACAATTGAGCATAATAATTTTTATAACATATTCTATAACAATATAACATAATATACAAATAAATACAAACATGGTTTATGTGCAGTGTGCGCTTATTAATGCAGGCTATGTTAGTGCGCTTATCCGCTTGCCATCTGCGGAAGGTTCAGACGATTATCGTCTATAATAATGTACATGTCCAGTGTTACAGAAAAAAAAACGTACAAAAATGTATGTGTTTTAAACATTAGAATAAAATTGTATCGTAAATATTTAAGAACAAAATAATAATTTAAAAAGAAATGTAATTCTTTATCTTTTAGTTATTTTAATCAACTTTTCGAAAGTTTTTAACATTTTTGTATAAATCACTCCGCAACCTGTAGCTGTATGTGTACGATTTGTACGCGTGAGGATATACCCATCCGTATAAAACCCATCAGTTAAATATATAACTTCCAACTGATCAACATTCAAGTTAATCATTCATACTACGATTTAAATAAATATTTTAAATGAACATTCACCGGTCCACTAAATTTCAAAATATCGGTGATTTTTTTTATTTTTACAATTTGATAAAAATTCTCAGAATAGTTTTTCTATAGTTTATCGTTGCATACAGATATACATTAAATTACTCATATATCCTGCCTTCAACCCTTCCGACTTCCCTTAATGGCACATCCATCAGTAATATCAATTTCTTTTTTATTATTATTACCATTCTCGCGTATATTTTTTTTTTAAATAAACTATAACTCTTATTTGTCTACGGGCTCAATTGCCACCGAGCTCAATATTGTCACCACACTCAACTGTCGTAAATCCATACCATACAATACAATTATGTTTACACAGTATGATTTACTATTTAGACTTGGAGATTTGGCGGTGATACCCTGATGGCCATGATGTACGCATTCGCTATAAACGTAATGATCGAATCGCCGTTCGATAGACTTCAGAAAAACATAATGAAATTATTATTGGGAGGTAAGAAGAATAATCAAACGTTTTAATTGAAATTGTATCGTAATCAAAATACGAGTAGTTTCTATAATATTAATGAATTGCGGTATAATTTATTAGTGTTATTTATGTTTTAATAATAAAATCAAATGTGTTCGTTTCGTTATTAATAACTAATGAATCATAGTGGTGAATAGTAGCGATTTTTTAAGATTCAGAAATTGAGACCGATTTTCGAAATATTATTAGAGAGTTAAATATAATATATTATTATCTATTCTATACATTGATAATCTCATAAACAAATACGGTACTGTGCCCAGTGAAGTCGGTACCCGATGTCAGAAAACTTTACCAATGACAAAAAAAACCTAAAGCTGTCAGTTGGACATTCACTCATATGTTTATTGTAAAAAATATTCAAATAAAAAACTTTAAACATTTTCATTAGCGCCACTATAGACATGGCGCCCGGTGCGTGGGCACCTCTATCATCCTTAAACAAATATATATAATGTATATATGATATTTAATCGATCAAACATTAATTTAATATTAACGAAAATTAATTTTTGCCAAATTACTCGTTAGATAGACAGAAACGGAAAATGCACATCCGATATCTTCCAAAGTGTTGTATGCTGTTATCACATAATAAATTAAATTAATAACATACAAATAATAAAATAAAATTATGTTAGTTTGCGAATTAAAATAAATACCACTGCATCCAAGTAAATGTATAGTAAAATGTATTACATCAGGTGTATTAGTAAATTCCCATACTTAAGTGGTTAAGACGTAATAAGTATATTATTATTTAGTTAAACTTAAAATTTCCAGATACCATCCAAATGGTTTATTTAGTATTATAACCTGTATAGGATAATTTATTAAGTGTGCTCATCACTCTATTTGTTTTTGGGGTTAAATTTTGCATACATTCAAATTCTGATTTTTGGAATTTTTAACTGTAATGAAAGCCGATATTTTCGAATACTTGTATTTTTCACGATATTTAAGGAGTATCCTGTAGAGATACCGACTACCCTCTTCCTACCTAAACATAAAAGTGGAATACCTCGTTACGGGTTAACGAAAATCCAAAATGTATTTAAATTAATATTCCATCTATTTATGGATTTTCTAATATAATTTCTCATTTGAAACATCAAAGTCGGTATCACCACAGGATAATTTTTTAGTGGTGCGAAAAATCTAAATGTTCGAAAAAATCGACTTAACTTTACATTTAAAAATTCCAAAAAATCAGAACTTGAATATACGCAAAATTTAACCAAAAAAATGGAGTGAACACGCTTAGTAAATTACTATGCATAAGTGTATTATTTTCCCGTTCAATTTAATAATAGTAACTAAACGATTTATTAATATTTTAATTAATATTGTACCTGTACACTCATATTAATTGTTTTTTTATAGACATGTTTTCAAAGCCAAAACCTTCAAAACGCTCGATTCGTGAAACCATCGATACGACTATTACTACGAGTACAACTACATTATATGTTGTAAATTATTCGGGAGACGAACAATTTTCGGTTTCCTAAATACTTAAATGGATAACTATATACACACGTTATATTATTATGGGTGTTATTTTGTACGCCTTCCATCATTATTGTGAAAAATTGATACACAAAAATTACGAGGCTAGATAAATAATAATATATTGTAAATCGAATAAGTAATCGAGTTTATTATATAATTTTTGTGTAATGTGTACGTCTAGTCAAAACGTGTAACAAAAATATAGTTTATGGATTATAACCGTAGAATCCATTATGTAAAAAAAAAAAAAACTATTTAATATTAATATGTGTAACTTATATTTATTATCATGTCATATATAAAACAATTAATCTATATTATATATTATATTAATTAATAAATAATTTTTTGGCAGACATTTCGATTTGATAAGTGCACATACCTTTACCTACAAAAAACCGTAAAGGTTACGAAATAAACCTTTAAAGAAACCCGTAAAAATCTCGTCATTTCAACACACTCAATCGTAATGATTTATGCGTACAGATATAAATTAAATGATATCCTTCCTTTTCAACCTAGAACAGGTTTCATCATAACAGCATCAGGTGGTTTTTTTATATATTTTTTAAAATAATTTTGATTCAACAGCGATAACGGACGGAATTGATATTAAAACGGCAGAATCTATAAAACTCCACATTGTGATTACCTACTCGTAAAAAAATGAGAACTGGGAAGCATATCTATAGGTTTTTTGTCTGAAATAATCTTTGTATGAAGTATAATATAATATGTACTCTATAGGTAGTACCCCGAGATGGACCCAGGGCGGAGCGATTTGGGGGATTGGCTGTCCCACAGTTTTTTCTCATTATTATGTGCCACCCCTTTCTAATTTGATATAAATACAATTTTATTTAAACAAATATGCACGTACAATAGTAATCATTTTAAAAATGTACACGGGTCTCTCTGAAATCTTTATAACTAATATATGAAAGATATAATCATAAATATTAGAAAAGAAACACTAATACAATAATGTAGTTGTATGTACGAGTATACCAAAAGTTCACAATTATCCAATAAAACTATACTTCTTAACATTAATTTCTTATATTAATATATTATATTCCAATTGTATTTGAATATTAATATGCCTGTTAACAGGGACGTCTTGGGAAATATCGAGAATCCGTGCAGTCAATTTTGCGCGGTCCCAATAAACTTTTTTTGTTTTTTCACCTTATTATACTAGAAACCAGAACCTACCAAGTGTAGGCTAATCTTAACATTACAATAAATTCTGCTTTGTCCGTTAGACAATTTTAATTTATATTTTTCTAAATAATAATGTAAAATTATGAGCTGTGATTGAAACTCTATGCGGAACATATTAGAGCGCGGAATTCAGTGTAAATGCACAGTCTTCAAGCCAACCCTACCCGTCAACCAACTAATTATAAAATACTATTAAATATAAATTATCAGTTTATTTCTTAGAAACATACTCAAAGTCTCGAATGATTTTTCTTGAAAGTATATTAATTATAGAAATAAAGTGTGAAATTTGTTTTCTTCCTTTTGATGCCCACAAACGGGGAAGATTTACCTATGATATTATGCTATCATATTGAAACGTACAAACACTAAACAGTGTGTCCAATTAAAATAAAAGGTTAAGACTATAACTTGAATATATTACATGTTTTAATTTTTCGCTCTATCTATACTAATTTCTTCTAAAATAAAACATAAAAGTAACAAAAATATAATGCGTCAAGTCAATAATATTATCATTTTTCATTTTTGCTTCTGATTAGACTATGAGTAAGTATCTTCTATTAATTATTTATTAAAAGAAATAATGAAATCAAATCAAGCATAAAAACAAAATAAACATGTTTATTAAATAATGTGGACTATCCGTCAATTGACACAATTTTTATTAAAATCTAATATATAAAAATTCTTAATATCAACTGTATTCATGTAAGTTTGTAAAATGTATTTATGTTTTGTATGTAAATTAGTTATGCTAGTATCAAAATATAAAAAAAATCAAGTAAATCGCGAGTGAAGCGAGCTGTTTTGGATTTCAAAATTGGGGTGAACTGTTAGAGAATTTCGAAAAGAAATGTTTTAAATAAAGTAGTACCTACTACTCGAGCGGAAATTCCACGAATGTTTCATGGCCGGTGAAAAAATTGGAACATGTTTACATGTTTAGGTAAAGCGGAAAAAGTACTGTTTTATTCCGATAAAACACCCATATTATGCCGCATACAATCACTTTGAGTCTAAAATTTGACGTGTTATAACCGTATTACTCCCATACTGCAGCTGATAAGACATCAAGCCCGGTCATAGTTTTAGATCTTGTGAGTAGGAGAGATAATGATTATGCAATCGTCATCAGTCATTAGTACATCCATATTATTATAGGCATAGGCATGCGCAGGAATTTTTCACAGGGTGTGCAGAATAATTTTTTTTTTTATTCTTTCATATAAACACGTTTTCTACCAGAAAGCATAATCCGATTATCAAGTAAAGTTATCTTTAAAGTACCTTCTCTGGGTGGTACTTTAAAGAGGTCAGTTTTTGAAATTCTCGTTAATATTCGAGATAATGAGGAAAACCTGGTTATTTAGATTAAAAAAGATTGAAAGTTTAAAAATAAGGTTGTCATTGGCAACCGTTTTTATTTATGTTTTGTTATTATTAAGTATTTGTTATTTTAATATTTTTTAAACCATCATTGTTGTCATGGAAACGCACATTTTTGTAATCATTTTATATTTAATAACATTTAATAATATGATATGTATAATATTGTTGTTAAAGCAACACTATCAAAATAATTCCGTTCAAAATCGTTTTTCCGTTAGTCATGGTTTATCGTTGCTTACAGATATACATTGAATTCCCTTCTGTATCCTATTTTCCAAACCTCTCACCTACAACAGTGGATGCACCCACGTATGTAGTACGTCCGTTTTTTTTTTATAGTTATATTATCCACAAATACTACTCACCACCAGCTAAAAAATTTAATCGGACGATAGCCCGATAGCACCACTACTGATTAATTAAGTCAACATGCCTAAGAATAGCGATTAATAATTAATGAGAGACGCCGATAGGTCACACACACAATAAATAACACACGTATTGAGATCAAGTTAATAATTTTTATCGTGAATTTTTATTTTATTAATTGTATGTAATTTTGCAATATTGTAAAATTATATAGCCGTTGTTCCCCGTCTACGCTTCTATACCGTTTGTGTTCGTGAAAAGTTATTCGTTCGCCGGTAAATACCGTTTTATGACACATACCAACCTGTTGTAAATAAATGCATCACAGGCGCGAATCACCAAATTGTTTTATTTATAATATTGTTTTACGCGAAACGCATAGATTGTCATTTTGTAGTAGAATAGAAATTAAAAGTAAGAATAAAATAAAGTAATGGAGGAAGGGTAAAATAATATGGTGTTGAGGATTAGACGAACAGTCAAATATAATAGATACCTATACTGCTCTCATAAGTAAAAACGTCGTAAGTCATGAGACAACGTTTTTGTGAAAAACGGAGTTTTTTATATTTTGGATTTTCTAAAATTCATATAACCTCTTACATTTTAGTTATCAAAGTATGATATGGATTTTCATATGATAGTTTATTTCAAGGGTCGGCAACCTGCGGCCCATATAGCGGTTTTATGCGGCCCGCGATTGCAATTTATAATTAGTATAAAAATATGGAATATCACATTATATTATTATCAACTAACAGTTGTTAGTTTGTAATAACTGGCATTTATTATTTAATCTTACATTTTATCTACACGTTATCTACGTTTTGATTAACGTCAATACCCAACGAAATATTACTTTAGTAGTTTAGTATTATTGAAATATAGGTATTAGTAAAAAAATATTATGGCCTTTTTATTCTGTGTAAAAATGTTCTATTAGTAATTTTATTCCGATTTACAACGATAGCATTTTTTCTGAAAGTAAATCTAACTGGCAAGGTACTTTAGGGAGATCATTTTTCGATTTTACCAAGAGTTCTCTTAAAAAATGTGTTAATCCTGGAAAAAAACATGGAAAAAACGGGAACATCGATACAATATTAAACACATATTATTAAAGAAAATATATATATATATATATATGTAATGCCTATTTAATTATTTTACAATAATATGGCATATATATTGTTGACAAAGCATCACTATCAACTGAACTACATTCAGAATCGTTTTTTCATTAGCTATGATTTATCGTTGCTTAAAGATATACATTAAATTGCCTATAGCAGTAGCTTCACCCGTCTCCATTATCCTAGAACGGCTTTTTTTCACTTAATGTTCTACTACGAGAATATAGGGATAATCACTTACCTCGGTATACCGCTTGAAGTTCGCAAGAAGTTTATTGCTCAAAATGTATGGAGCAGCTATAAGGATGCGTAGGTTTCGATGAATTGTTACAATAAACACAAGTAGATTTTCCTAATTGTTTTGTCACCAGGTCAACTATGTCAATAGATATTTATATAACTATACTCAGACATCGGATCGCTAACAAATGACGACTCGCGGGAGATGCATCCGTTTAGTGTAACGAATCGCTAGCCGACGTTTACTACAATTTAGGTTTACAGACAACTGTTTATCTTGAGTGACGACCACCAACGAGATATGTTACGTCGATGCTCGAGTCAGTCAAGTGTAATATATTGTGTGTGCGTTTGTATTGGGTTGTGTAAGAAAAATAGTAGACACGTTTAATGTGTGATAGAAAACAAAGTGACAATATGTACAACTACCAGGTTTAAGGTGATGTGGATTAACTAACTACAACAGCCCGCCTATGGTATCTGCAACTGCTGTATCAGTTAGATGGTAAGAATTTTAAGTGAGCAAAAAAATGAGTGTCACAGGGGGGTGGTCATTTTTTCAAAAGAAATAAAAAAGATAATACACAATAAAAAAAAAAAAATGTTATGTAATTTATTAACTAAAATTAGAAGTTTATTAAATTGTTTTAATTGTATCTATTTTATTTTAATAAGTACTCGTGGGTTCCTAATAGGTACAATACAATAAAATACAATATAGGTACTATATTGTATTACATTAAAATAATTATGAATAAAAGTCCATTAACTATTAAAAACGCGTACAAAATAGGTATTTAATACCTATATATTATCTATAGGTACTGCCTAAATTTTTGAATAAAACGTGGAGTACATGGTATTATCGAAATTCCGTTAATATAACGATTAATATAAAACACTTAATATAATATATCATAATATAAATAAATTATAATATATACTTACGAATAGTTTAATAGACCTCGACGAAAGAATGTTATACTTGAAGTTGTACGCATTACGCTGCAAAGAAACTATTCTCAAGTGTACAACACGATAAAAATAAAATCATGTTGACTGTTGGTTTCGATTTCAGTTTAACAATAATATTGGAAAAAATGATGGGAAATCCTTGATAACAATATTATGTTTCGGTATCTCTCATGCGGTACGCGTATTACTTAACAATGCAAGTTATAACAAGAAACAAGTAGCCAATAATTTCTTAAGGTGCGATTTGTCATCACGAGTTTTCGAACCGTTCGTGCAAATAGACGTTTCAAGAATAGTCGGAATGTCAGGCCAGACATTTAAATTTCGTATTTTCAGTTACCAAATATGATGAGCACCTTATTGGAATAGCATTCAATCGTTTCCTTTTTTTTTGAGAATAAAAATAAAATAACATACAAAATTTGCCGCCCCTACAAGTTCAAGGCTCGAGCGTTGTGAGCCTAATGGTTAATCCACCACTGAAGGTATCCCTCATAATTAAGAACAATATAATGAAAATAAAAAATAACATCCATTGCACCGAGTCAAACATTTTTAATATGAACCATCGCATCGATGATGATCGGAGCAAGATTTCTGGTAGAAAGGTTGTTTACAAATAGAACAAAAAAAGTTACCCTATGATAATGGGGACGGGTGAAACCACTGGTTTGATTAATTTAATGTATATCTGTAAGCAACAATTAACAATTGCTAACGAAGAAATGATTTTTAACGGAGTTTGGTTGATAATGTTACTTTGTCAATAATACATATGCATTATATATTTTATTTAATAATAATTATTTAATATTATACCTATTTTCCGGTTTTTTTCTACGTTTTTTCCGGTTTTTCACATTTGCTGAGAAAATTCTTGGGAAAATCGAAAAATGACTTCTCTAAATTATCACCCCTAGAAAATTTACTCTCAGAAAAAGGTGTACATTGTTTACATCAGAGTAAGATTTCTGGTAGAAAAATTGTTCACTTAAAATAAAAAAAAAAAAAACATCTTTGTAAAACCAATTCATTCTTCGTTACACTCAGTATCTAAAAGTGATTGTGTTTGTGCAACAGATTTTAACCAATCTGACATTGTTAGCATGGTCAAGTGGTGAAGTATTAAATAATTATACGGTACCAAATGTTTTTACACAAGTTTTAGGTTAAATAACAAAAAAATATACAATTTTAAATTATATGGTAGATTCCGCGGTGCAATTACCAAGGTAAGTAGCGATGCTCAACATCGGGCCCGTAGTTTTAAACTGATTATGTAATTTTTTTTATTGTTCATTATTATAATTTATTATTATTATAATTCAACCGTGTAACACGTATATATTATTATTCCGCTGAAAAAAAATAAAAACTTAATAGTCCGTTTAATGATAAATATAGTCATAAAAAAATTCCCAAGGATAGGTTTTAGAACTTACCTTATCATCGAGGCCCTCAAGAGCCACTGGATATATAGAGCCGCCCTAAGGCCGAGGCCAGTAGAGCTGTTTTTCTCGTTAGATTGTTTTCTGTGACTTTCTAAATGAGTGATCTCTCTGCTCGCCAAACATGTCTCGCCCATTCCAGCCTTTTTCTGGCTAAGAAATTTCGTAGACTCGGTTTATTGTACAGCTATTGGAGGTTTTCAATTGTTCTTCTTTGGAAACTTCTCAAGTCATTATTATATACCGCTCCATACACTTTCCACATACATTTTCCTCTTGAAACTCTGTAATCTTTCTTCATCTCCTTGAGTGCTAGACCACTTCTCTCATACGTACTTTACTATGGGTCTTAAGTATGTACAGTAGAGGTGTTTCTTTTTACGTTTGAAGAGTAACTTGGAGGAGAACGTTTTTTTCATTGTGAAGTAACATCTGTTTCCGACATTCAATCTCATCCTAATTTCATTATGTATATTGTTCTTTTCGTTTATGTTAACTTTCAAGTACTTGAAGTCTCCTACCTGCTCGAAAGTAAGTCCTTCGATGGGTAGATTATCCTTTACAGTTGAATTCCTATTCATCACTATATATTTTGTCCTATTTTCATTTATCACTAGCCTCATATTGCAGCTAGATTTTATTAACTTTCTTACACTCTCCTCAACATCATTTCTGGACTCACCTAGTAAAATAATTTCATCTGCATAGGCGAGCAAGGTATAGAGTCCTATTATTTCCATTTATTTGAGGTCTGGTATATCTCTCACCACCTTTTCCAGAGCTAGATTGAACAGCACTGGAGCCAGTGCGTCACCCTGTCACAGGCCCTTTCTGCATTCAAATATTGATGATAATTTTCCTAAGAAACGTACTCTGCAACAAGTTTGTTCATTACACATCTGGATTAGTTTCACCAATTTATCGGTATGCCAAAGTTCTTTAGTGTTGTCCACAGTTGTTCACGAATGATGCTATCGCATGCCTGTTTGAAGACCACAAACACCATATGAAAGTCCTTATTACACTCGTAGTACTTTTCTATAAATTGCCTTAGTGTATGAATGTGATCTGTCTCGTCGACTTTCTTTTTTTAAAGCAACACTGATACTCCCCAACTATGTCTACTGCGTATATTTCAAGTCTTTTCAATATAGATATTGATAACACTTTATATGCGATGTCCAATAGCGAGATTCCACGATAATTTGTTACTTTCTTCATATCTCCTTTTTTGAAGATTGTGCATATAATCCCTAAATTCCAATTCCTTCAGCATACATTCTTTGTTCCATATATTTTTTAATATGAGGTGTATTACTGTCGCAAAATCTTTTCCAGCCAGTTTAAGTAGTTCTGGGTTAATTTCATCCTCTTCTAGGGCTTTAAAGTTTTTTAAATCCTTAACGATAAGCCGTATTTTTTCCAACTTTGGTTCGGTCAATTCCGGTTCTGCTGTTTGATAAATCATTCTCTCATATTTTACAAAGCTTCAATTGTTACTATTGTTATTTAACAACTCGTCGTTTATGAAACTGTTCGAATATTTTTGTTGAATCTGTCAGCAGGTCACCGTTGTCATTTTTTATGATATGAGTTAGAAATTTATAATCTTTCCTTACTCCTTTGCATTTTTTAAAAAAATGTCTCCGGTTGTTGTTATCTTCTTCAAGACTTTCTAACATTTCTTTTTCGGCCCGTCTTTTTTCCCTTCTAATTGTTTTGTTTACAATTGTTTTCCTGAGCTTATATTCCTCTGTAGATTGTAGGGTAGTGTTTTGTAACATTTTTTCCTCTCATCATTACGCTCCATTACTGCCCTTTGGCATTTATTATTAAACAAGTGTTCCTTAAACTATAGAAAACAAAAACAATTATATAGTATGGTATTTTATTTCGCCTATAAAACTGTATTATTGATTATTGGTAAGTCGAAATGTTCAGCGAAAAATGTCATTATCGACATTTAAAAATATTGTATGGATTTCATACGACCAAGTGCAACTACAATGTCCAGCTTATTACCAAGTGCGTTATACAATTTCGTTATAATGGAAAGTTTTAAAACTGAAAATTAATTTTTTACAACAAATAGATTCGTATATAATTTTGAGAAGAAAAAAGTATACTATTCGGTGGAAATGTTCACAAAATACAACATTAAAAAGCCCGGGAAAATTACAACGAATTTAATTAAACCAGTGGGTTTTAAATGAGTAATAATTTTATATTTATCCAGGGTATTGTATTATACAGGTAAGGTGAAATCGTGACTTATTTCAGTATATTAAATATTAAACCACTAAAAAATATTGTATACGTTGTGAATTAATATTTAATTTATAATTTTGGACATGTTTTTTGAAACATTGAAAATAAAACATTTCATAGTACCAATATTCCGTCTTTTTCATTTGTTTTTATTCAAAACACAAAAAGACCGTACTAATTTTCCGTATTATTCGCATGTGCTATTAACACAATACAACCACATAAATAAACATATATTTCTATAATATACGGCTTAAAAACAATGACTCGTTTACATGTTCATATGCTTCTAAACCTATTAAATTTATTCTTGTGCGCGATTATTATTTTTTTTTTCTACATATAGTACACTACTGTGCATTATTATTATAGCAATGTCGATTACAAGCGATGTTTTTCACTTAAAACTCAACCTCTGAATGGAAGCTACTAATGTATCAACTTCACTACGTTCTCAACGTTTCTGTTACACACACCGCTTTGTTGGTTTTCATTATTTTAAAGAAAATACGTCAAATTAAATAAATATTTTAGTTTTTTTTTTTTCTTAATTGATAATAGGTACCGTTAGGAATGTAAGCTTGAGCATTTTCATTTAGAATTTTTTTTTTCCATTTAAATTTTCTGAAAATTTAATTTAAATTTAATTCATAAACAATTTTTAAAAGTGTGTTTTTAAAAAAAAAAAAAAATTTTCACAATCAAAGTTATCAGTAAGTAAACTTATATATATTTTTTTCAAAGGGGGTTCACAAACTTAATAAAAATTACGGTTTTAAAAAGTTTTACAATCGAATCACGGGTGATATCACGTCCTAGTAATAGTACAAAATATTAAATAAAATAATCATGAATAATATTCAAAACCTTGTAAATTACAATTTATGCATTTTTTTTTTTTTAAATTTATAAATCGTTGAAAGAGTACCTAATCAATACACAAATAATAATATGTAAACCATCACAATACAAGGAGTACCAAGGAGTTATGACAAATGCGAAACTTGTATAACTTCGGTTCACTGTTTTTAAATTTTTTCTTTTTGTAATAATTACTAGAACGTTATGCTAAAATTTTTATTTTCATAATACTATTATTCCTATATCTACAATAGTTTTTAAACCACGGTGTTCTTCCTATTCGAATACAATTCCACTATTTTGTTGTTGAAAATGATATTTATGTTGAATTAATTCCTAAAAAATTGATACATCATAACATTAATATAAATTAAACCTCTTAAGTTTAACTATGTTCATTCACTAATATTAAAATGTGAAAGCTTGTCTCTCTGTTTTGTCATCTTTTTAATGCTAAAACGGTGAACTGACCTTGATAACATTTTGCCAGACGTTTGTATTCTGATAACGTAAATCAGGATCGTTAGTCGTGAGGACGTGAGTCAGGATTTAAATAAATTACTGACAATTTCACCGATTGTATATTTATTTTTATAGATATAATAACAATGTCGTTAAAAAATATTTGGATAACAATAATAGTGGTAATATTACCGAAATACGTTGTATACTCGGAGATGTTAATCAATATTACCGAACCTAAAGGAACACATAATATAAGTAGTGAATTAGTCCAGAACAACTTCAACAATTTGATAAAAAATACTCCAGTGTTTTTTAATAATAGCAGACAATGTAATTCAAAACTGTTGTACGGCGATATTATAGCAAATAGTATGAACAATTTTTTTCCGTTTTCTAATATAAATCAAAATTGTACCAAAGACGGACAGCAATATATGACAGATTTAAAAAATCGAAAGCTATGGGCAGTTAAAAGTAAGTGAATTATAATAAACAGCATTTTTTTTTCTGTAACTGATAAATTATTGGTACCTATACGTGACAGTTAAGTCACGCTAATATTCTTTGGAAATTCAAATTTATTTTATTTTTTTTTTACTTTTTTTTAAAAAAATTCATTTTCACAATCTGTTACATAAAAATAAGTGAATTAAATTTGGTGCAAACATAGTGACAACCGTGATTTGTACGGACATGCCTTGCTCTAGCATTATTATTATTATTAATATTAGAACTCGATGTTAATCCAATTTTTTTGTTTAACTATTTATTATAACCTAAAAAGTTTCTACTTCACAAAATATAATCAAATCTATCTCATTCACTTACATTTCTGATTCAAAAAAAAAAAAAATTCAACTGAAAATCGTATTTTTATTCTATCAGCTCATTGCAAACGTTATGAATCTATACAATTTTTCAAGTCAAGAACATTATCGATAGTTTGAAGCATTTGAACAATATTGGCCATACTAAAGTTTTTCAAATTGATTTATTTTTATGTGTACTACAAAAAAACCCTCCGCTATTATTTTTTGTTTAATTATAAATTTACCAATCTTGGTTAAAAATATCGTTCAATTTCACGACATAAATAATAATAATTCAAAAATTATTCACCTTTTTCATTTCATTTCATTTCAATCCAATCATTTTTCTGGTCAGACTAAACGTGCCATTATTACTTCACACCTTTTGCAGAAACCATTAATTAGAAAGTATGGTTAAACAATAAAATATGTATTATATTATTGTGTTGTATTAGTTTTTCTATCGCTAAATATTCCAACAATAATGTATTTTTCAATTTATTATTATTATTATTCGTTATTTTTTCAGTGTACGATTCTTCGTCAAAATACCCCAGAGGTGTAATCAATTCGGGCACAGAATTTGGCTATTTCGATCAATGCATGAGCGTACAATCAGAAAAATTTGGAATTTACGGCGCGTACGCAATGGCTAATTTTCGATTCCACCTTACAAAAAACTGTAATACCAATTCGTCAGTCGATACCGATGTGCAAGCACATATGGATCAGTTAAATGTAACATTATATAGTTTATGATCTCCTCAATTAAAATATTCTGCATATAGTTTGAAAATAATTATTTAAAATCATAGTCCTAGAAACAACGTACCGAAGTTTATCTCAAACCTATTTAAAAGGGTGGTTGAGAGAAAATATTAACAATAAAGTTGAGAATATTTTTAGAAAAATACAGAATAGGTAAAATAACATACATTTGAGGTTCTATCATATAGTATCATAATATGCCAGATTTTGCAAGCCATCTCTTTCTAACAAAATTATAAAAGTAGTCAACATAAAGCAGGTTATAAGGGATGCGTCGTCTATATATTATTATTTCTATGTTTAAAACTACCTAATAATGTTTATGATAATATTTTGTTGAAAACTTATATTGAAATAACTCTAAATCGAAATTGATCCGAAGACCCTGAAATAGAAAATAAAAGTTTAAATATTCACGTGGAAAATATATAATATTATAGACCGATTTTTTTAGTTTTATCATAAATATTTTTTAAATAAATTTTCAGGGAGATTCGCTTGTAACTGAACCACCAGAAGTCCTTTCGTGGGCGTTGTGTTTCCCGGAATCCTGTACAAACGAAGACGTGAAACTATCCATCGAACGCGCTATAATACCCGCGTTCCAAGCTTACAATATCACCGTAGACGTATCTGTGCCATCACTATTGTATACGTCCAAAAAAAATTCTTCCGAAGATCACGTCGACACGGAAACTCTAATAATCTAGTGAGTAGAGATTAAATGAGTAAAATTCCATGGAAAAAAAAAAAAGTTGGAAAATATTAAAATAAAAAATTCTCGGAAAAACTGTTTTTCTTTTTCGGGAAATATTTTATTATACATAAAATAATGTCCTTCATCCCTGAATTGTGTTTTTGTTTTCTGTATAGCACGTTGGTCGTCTTTGGAGTCATACTGGCACTATCTGGAATGCTGTATGACGCATTACCAGATTGGTTAAAATGGAAAAACGGCATGCGATATTTTGGTAAGTCCGAATATTTCTATCATTTTATTCGTTGTACATGTGAAATAACGATTTGAGGTAGTCATTGCCCCTTGGTGTCCGCAAAATTTTGTAAAAATAATATAAGAATTATGTAGATAATTTATTATTTAAAACTTAGTCTTACAGATGGCAGCATTGATTTTAACCATGTAATATTAAATTAATAAATGCTTTTCATTTTAAAATACATATTATGTTACTTACTACTGCTTTGATAGTTTTAGATTCTTTATAAAATTGAATGTTTCTAGGTTCTGTAAAATAAATAAAATAACCAAATCATTTTGAAATTAACTTATTTCTGTTATTTGTATACTGTAACCACAAAGAAAAACCAAAACAAATCAATTTTTGTTTTGCGGTATTGTATAACATATGATTAAAAATGATAACTGAACCAGGAAAAAATCCGAAGGGGGTCATGGCAAGGAAGAGGTGTGCCCCTACTCGACCTCTGCGGACGCCCTTAGACTCACTGCAATATGTATTAGTATGATAAAAATAGGTATTTTGTTTCAAATTAAGGAGAGTTCCTTCATATGTATTCGGCGGAAAACACAATGATTGACTTAAGGCGTGATCGAAAAACCGACGAGTTTTCCATGATAGACGGACTGAAGACAATGGCCATTTTAACCGTGATCATCGGACACAGAATGACACTAGACTTTGCAACGCCAATATTGAATTTAGAGTACAAGGATTACGTATGTAGAATGTGGATGAGATTTTCTCGTGGAGTTAATTATTTGTATAAATGTTTTATAACTACTTTTTTTTTTGCTATATAGATTATTAGCAATTTATGGTGTTCGGTCCTCAAAACATTTGTTTCCGTTGAAATATTCTTCGTTATTAGCGGGTTCCTTACGTACTTAGTAATCGAAAAACGCTTGACGAGTGGAAAACCGCTGAACTTCATCCTTCTGTTGTGTAATCGGCTTGTCAGGTATAAAAAACTATAAAATATATATTCAATACTACTATTAATTACTTATACCTATACTTATAGAATTTTAAAATATTATAAATGTATAACTATTGGATTGGTCTAGAATATGTGGTTTTTTAATAAAAATAATAACAATTTTATTGTTTGTCTATGTAAACAACTTTTTTACCAGAAATCTTGTTCCAAACAATAAATGACAAAAAACTCTAGTTGGTGCATTTAGGAGATTTTTTTTTATTATCATAATATTCCTAGTAATTGTAAAAAACCGGAAAAAAATAATTAAAATCGAAAAAATTTACAGTTTCATAGTTTTCGATTTTCTATTTTTCTCGTGATTCAGTTAAAAAAAATCGAAGAACTCTAAAATTTGTGTAGAAAACTTACAGAAAATATATAATAACGTTTTATCAGTGTTAAATTTTTTCAAAAAATGCTGACAACTTTTTAAGCTATATATAGATTTTTTAAGTTATTTAATCACGGTATTTTGCGTAAAAGGACGTGACACAGACATGTGTGTCTGGAAGGGGGACAAAGCGAGGCATTTGTCCTCCCATAGACTTCAAAATTTCGAATATAGTTTTAATAATTAGTTAATATAATTTTATTTTAAGTATTATTATGCTGATCAATTTCCTGCAAGCGCCCATGTGCACAGCACAATGATTTTGTAGCGACGGTTGCGGTGGTGGTGTTGAAGGAGTAATTCGGATGGCACTGCTGTTTTATTACATTCCTAACTACAACCCATAAAATCATAAATTAATAAGTCATGTTTTGTGGTAGTTATTTGAAAAAACTTTTAACCCACCTCCTCTTAGAATCGTTTTTCTCTAGCAATAATATATCGTTGCGTATAAATATAAATTAAATAACTCTATGTATACTACCTTACCAAATTTGTATTATTTGGTTACTAAAACAAATTTATTGCGTACGATCTTGTATTCCGTAATATCTTATTGGTAAAATTAATATTACTATAATTTCTAAAATATCTTATTGAAAGTGATAATTATGTTGCGCCATGAATATGTAAAACCATATACTACTGAAATTTATCATGGACAATTATTAAAATTATAATCTATATAGTAAATGGTGTAAATTGGTGTAAATCCAATAATAAAAATAGTGAATTAATAATTAATAATAAGTATTATAATTAAAATTATAATACTTAGTAATCTTAATGTTACATTGTTTTACTTGCTTATTGTTAAATGCATTAACAATAATTCTAAGGTAATATTTTATGTACAATTAAACATATTTTGTTTTTTTTTAGAATTCTACCTACTTATGTGTTTATCATCGTGATATTTACCTTTGTATTGCCAAAGATGGGCGATGGTCCATTATGGAAACTCTTTATTTTCCCCGAAGCCGAATGTTGTCGAAAAAACTGGTGGACCAACATTTTGTTTATAAATAATTATGTAAACACACACGAAACGGTAAATATGAATTGTTAACATCTACATATTAAGGTGCTTGTAATTTAACTGTTATTTTAAAATAGAAACTATTGTTATTTATTTGATTTCGTTCCAAGCATATTCTTTGTATAGTTAATACGTATAGCAGACGTGCTTTGATTAATTCTATTAAATAATTTAATATTTCAATGGTTTAATGTGATAATTATTTCCAGTGTATGTTACACGCATGGTACATGGCATGTGACGTCCATTTCTTTGTGGTCGGAATAATCTTGACATATCTAGTATGGAAATGGAGAAAAGTTGGCATTTTAATTTTTAGTTTGGTATTTGCAATATCCATTTATATACCGGCAAAGTGCATCTATGATCATAACCAAATGGCTGTCATGATGTTCACTCTTAAGTAAATTTGTGAAATATATTATTTTAAGCAATTGTGTAAAAAAGGTATCATAGGCAAATGGCATACATGATTTGAAAATTTAAAAATTAATAAATGAATCTTTACATTTGTATTTGTAAATCGACAAAATTACATGAACATCAAAAGACATATTATAAGTAAACTGATATACCACGACTAAATAAATAGACATGTCATACGTATTTTTCCTAGCATTGCTTTTATGCACCAGTCTTGGAAGAAACGGTATAATAACCATACCTCCACCATCCTTCCATCTTATCATGATCGGTCCATAAAATCATCTTAATCGGTGTGATTCTGTGTGATAACCTTAATAAAAGCGTAAACCAATTTGAATCAAATTCCCATGATATCTCCATGATTTTATCGTTTATTCTACGTCTGAGGCATATTTCATGTACAAAGCGATTTTGCTGACATACCTGTTTATTTAGCCATGCCCTAACCTTATTATAACCTAACCTTTACGTTATTCGAACATGTTTTTTTAACGATAAATTAATATATAATGCACCGTACTGTTTCCAGAAACAAAGATAACATCAGAGAAACTGAACATTTTCATAGAATTTATATAAAAAGTCATCACCGGATCACAACCTATCTTATTGGTCTTGCGGCTGCATACGTTTATTTGCGCATTAAAAAATCCAAATTCAAATTTTCAGCAGTATGTATTTAACCTAATTTATATCAAATCAATTTTAGATTCGGATTACTTGTAAGAACAAAATGTTTATGGTTATTGTTCAGAAAAATAGAATAATTGGATTCATTGTTAGCAGTTTGATACATATGGCCTGTTACATAGCAACCGGGTACTTCTATTTACCAGGAATAACATACAATCCATGGTTCCATATATTATACTTCACTCTCCAGAGAATCATATATTCTTTAGTTATATCATACTATATCATCGTCGGTTCCATATCAAATTTTGGTACGTTCTTAATTATATCCACTACAATATAAAAATCATAAATAAACAAATAGTATACCTATGCCGAGTTGTATCAAATATTTACACAGAGATAAAATCGTATAAACTCTGTAGTTTAAATAAATTCTGTAACAAAAACCGTGTTTTAAATTATACCTGTTAATAAAAATATACTTTATCAAGAGTTAAAATTACAGGCTCATTTATCATCATGTAAAAATGTACGTATGTAAGTTAAATTTTGTTATCAATGTTTGGCGTTACTTCTGCATGCCGGTGTAACTGGGATTATTTACCCCCGTGAAATTTTACCCCCCTCGGTAAATATTCTCTGGTAAAATTTCACGGTAATATTTTTTATTTTTTATTTGTTTGTAATGATTTTGTTTAACAATCTGTTTAGGTTAGGACAGTTATAACTCATAAATAATAACTATGTTAAATTTATTTATTTATCTCTCAAATTAAACCTTACTATAATTATTTTTAAAACCTTTTGACATCTTGATGGAACTCGTCTAATTATTTACATAAAAATATTAAAATCAAGATGGTGTGCCTTTATTAAGAAATAATGAATTCGATTTATCTTCCAAACTAAATGATCGAAATTTTCGAAAAATATTAAAATTTAAATGGATTCTGGGGATAAGGAAATAGAAGATAATTTAAAAAATTCAAGTTCCAAAGGTTTTTTTTTTGCAGGAAAACTACGCAAAATTAAATTAAATGTCCATTTATAGTAAATATTAACTATCGGTAATATTCAGTAGCGGATTTTCAATATTTTTCAGAGAAGTGTCTTGAAAAAACATATTTATTTAAAAGTTATCTCTATTAACAGTTGATCCTTTTTAGGACGATATTTCATTGAAATTATATCAGTGTTTGGGGGGCCCAGACCCCTTGGATCCTCTTCCCGTAAATTTGACAACAATAATAAACAAACAATAAACATAATAAACAAAGTAAAACCCTCTCCATATTATAGTAATATAAGAATTCGACGAAACAATAGATAATGAAAATTACATTAAAAAAATAATAAGTAAAATTTCACGGGGTGAATAATTGCGAGTACGGTTTAGTGGAACTATTTATTCGTTACTCATTATTCTGATAATAACCTGAATATAAAACAATGATTAAGCAACACTTGTAAATTTAACACATATGAAAACTTTAATTTATCAACCATTAGTTTATCGTTATTAAAATATTTAACATCAATCATTGGATTATATAGTTTATCAACAAATAAACTATATAACAGATAAGTTTGTTGCAACCGGGAACTAGGTACTTAATTAAAAGAATATAAATAAAATAATGTATGGATTATGTTTTTATGAGTTTTAAAATATCTACGGAAAAAAATATCCGTTTAAGTAAACCTAGACGATTGTAGCATTTAGTATAAAAGTGTGTCTAAGGTAATTTTACTTGAAAAATAACAGTACTCTTCTATGACTAAAATTAATTCCAAAATAAATAAGCAGCCTATTATAAAACCATACAGCAATGTGTACCTATATTTTATGGTATATTAACGTTCCACGTTTTTATTTTTGAGTAAATAAATTATTTTTATTTTAGGTTTCATTAGTAGTATAATGGGATGTAAAATGTTCGCCGTTATAGGAAAAATAACATATATTATGTACTTGGTGCATTTCATTGTTCAATTTAAATCTATTGGACAAATTCGCCAACCCCAGTTCGAAAGCTTTTGGACTTTCGTAAGTGAAAAATTGCTTTAATAAGTGAATACAAAATTATGACAGTTTATTAAAATTATGAATGATAATTGACTACTTACACCTATATATATTTTTTTTATATTATTTTAAGTTCTGGAAAATCAACGGTGATTTCACTACAACTCTGGTTTACTCGATAATTATCAATTTCATCATTGAAGGACCAATCAGAAAAATATTGAACAGAATCATGAACGGTCTTTTTGAAAGTGAAAATTGTATTGGTAACTATTAATTATTTTTACATAGATGCGAATATGCGATACTCAATTATCAATTACCTAAATAATATTTTCAGGCGAGAAGTATAATTCTTACAAAGGAAATATTGTCGAAAAAGAAAATTCCGTTCTCGAGCAACTTCAAGGAACTCTCAATGGATAAATAGTCAGTAAATCTATGATTAACCCTGTGAAAATCAATATTATATAATAATATGATATAATATTTGTAAACAATGCATTAAGTGTTCAAGGAATGTTTTGCATTTGTTTGACATTGAACAGTAATAAAAAGTTCTTAAAAACACGATTTATTTAATTTAAAAACAAAAAAAAAAAACGTATAAATACTTATCTGGTTGTTAAATTCGGTATCAGACATAAGGGGGAGAAGAAATCTATATTAAGATTTAATGTTCCTATCTACACTATATTATATCGATGTTTTTACTATATTTTTTTGTTTAGAAATCAGATGCATTTGTCAATTACTGTCAAAACACAATACTCTGCATAGTTACAAATGTTCAGTTACATAGCAATTGTATTTATATCGATTATTACGTACATATATAATAATACTTATATAAGACATTTAAAATAATAGTAATTGTAAAAATTAAATTTAAATTAATTATAACTATTACGAAAGTTTTAATTTAGTTGTTTTGAATAATAAATTAAATATCGATTTAATAACTAACTTAGTAATACGATAGAAAATAAAAATTAAAAATAATATAATTGAAATAATAAATGCAAATATGTCTAATGAATAGTATTGGTACCATACTAATTCTACTGCTGGTGAACGTAAATGATGAGCTCCTTTATGCCTAATAACGTATTCCACCCAATATACCGCCTTGTCTATAGATGTCAAAGGTCGATCATTAAATATTAAAGACATTCTCATAGCATTTTCTTTAAATCTGAAATAATATCAAGCAATCATAAATTATAATACTACATATTATTTTATCATACTATTAAAAGGATGGTAAAAATATTTAACGTATTATTTAAAAAAATCGTGTTTCCCAGGATCAAAATCGGTTTAATTACTGTTGTTTTTTTTAAATACTAAGATTAGCCAGAAATGTCTTTGTTTTACAATGATTTAGATTTGTTTTTATTTAGAGAAAACAGAAATATTTTGGTAGAAATGGTTTCTGGAATTTAATACTTTTATAATATAATACACCATTATCAATTTTTAAATTTCGAAAAAGTTATACAATTTTAATAAATAATAAATAAATAAATATAAATCCAGATTTGATTACATTAACAAAATTTAAGTATTATTTTTATTTTAAAATAATTTTAAATGTCGGTTTATTATTTTAAAATTAGTTTTAAGTTACTTACGATGGTTCATTCAAAACAAGGCCTACATCTCTTTCAAAAGTATTTTCAGTCAGAGTCATAATATTACTCATAATGCCAAATCCATTTTCCTGACTTATTCTTAAATTTTGATGTTGGTCCCCGAAAACTGGAAATCCGATAAATGGAACTCCGGCGTCAATTGTTTCCATTAAACCATGAATTCCTCCATGAGTAATAAACAATTTACAGTTCGGATGCTCTAAAATATATTAAATCTGAAATCTATGATTCAATGGGCAAAACATATTATTATTGATTATTACTTAAAATGTCCACTTGCGGTAACCAAGAATCAACATAGAAATTATCTGGAAAACCCTGTGTATCATTATTAGTCCATTTGAAAATAACCTTCTGTTCCAAACGACCCAAAACTTTTTTGAAGATATCCAAAGTAGGTTTTGGAACTTTATCCATATTGATTAAAGTTCCAAAATTTAAAAACACAACACCTTTAGTAGCCGTATCCATAAAATCTTGTAGTTTCTATATCAATAATAATTATTATTATGAATTATAATAATGTATATATTATTACTAATAATAAATCCCAAAATATGGGTTGGTACATATTTTAACGTTGCCTTATCTATTATTCGATTAAAATAACAAAACGATTATACTATACCTTATCCATATTTTTAACTGGTCTGAAATGGATACCAGGAACTTCGATGAAACTCGGTACATAAGGTCGCGAACTGAGAATCATAACATCGGAGTCGATTAAACTAAGTGATACGTTTTTCAGCATTTCCGTCATCGTAGGTCTTGTTTTGTATCCAGGATATTTGAAATATGTGTTCATCATATTTTCCATTTTTGGATTATAAATTATTGGTGCGACAAATAAAGCGTATAAACCAAATAATGTATTAAATAATCGATTTTGGAAATTGAGTGATTTACCGCTGTCGATTTTAAAATCTTTAATGTAGGAAAAATCAAAAGGGTTAGCAGCTAAAACCGATTGAATAGCCCAAGGTGCTAAAGGAATGATACTAATTACTGGGGCACTGTATTTATGGCCCATAGCAATGGTACATTCCTGAAAAAATGATTCCACAATAACCAAATCGAAGGTTGATTGATCTTCCTTAATGAACGATTGTACATTGGAAGATGATATATATTGTTGAGTCAAATCTTGTGAGATTATGTTTCGAATGTATAACTCCTTGAAGAATTCTTCATAGATATTAGTTTCTTTAAAAATAAATGGTTCGACTAAATAAAAATAAAACAGCAGTAATTAATTTATAATCATAATCGAATACACTGACGTTGCCCATTATTAAATGTAAATTTACTGAAGTATAAAGAATATTAGATACACTATTTAAACACTAAGCGCAATGCTGGCCACCACACTAACGCATAATTTTCCAGTACTTTTTCCTTGCCTAAACTAAAAAGTGAAATATCTCGTCAACTGGTTGACGGTAGTCAAAAATGTCAATACCAAAATGCATTAGGACAAATCCTCTATTTATCTATGGAATTTTGAACATAGGTTGTGACTTGAATTTCAAAAGTAGACTTCAAAAATTTGTTCACAGATAAAAAAAAACCAATGATAAAACTGATAAGTTAACGGCAAAGCGTCACGATTTCTTTATTTTAACTTTTTACTACTTTTTTTTCTACCAGAAAAATTGCTCTAATATAAAATCATTGTTGTTTTATATTTTTATCTGGTTGGTGAGTCAAAAAATAGTTTTTCAAATTTTCAAATAGTTTTCATAATAATTAGGAAAACGTGAGAAAAAACGTAAACTGAAAACTGATAAATTTATGGAAATTATGATTTTATTATTTTAAATTTGTACACTTTATGTTTTCTACCAAAATTATTGTTTCAATAAAATATCATTGTTGGTGGCTTTTTAATCTAGTTGGTGAGTATGAAAGTTTTTTTATGGTATTCTGTGTATTTTTTTTTTTTTTAATAATTGAGTAAAACTGAAAAAAAAAATGTAGAAAGAACCAGGCAAATTACGAAAGTAATGGTTTATTGTTTTCAATTCTGTTGTTTTGTTGTAATCTAATAAAAAATATTCATAGAGTCTTGAATTGTTGTCAGAAAACTTTTATTTACCTTTTCCAGACGTGGTAAAATGTACAAAACATTTAAATCATTTTTAAGCTATTTTTAGACATTTTAAGTTTGTGAGTTTTTGCGTAATTTTTATTTCTGTGGTAATCTGTGGATAAAATTGTTAAACCAAACAGAAATGCTTCACAATTTAACCGGAGGTTCATTATAAGTCGAACTTAATGGCAAAAAAAAAAAATTTAAAGTATAGTAGAATTGTTTTAAAATATATATAGTAGTAAATAAAAAAGTAATATAGTAAATAATAATAAAGTATAGTAGAATTTCAATTTCTAATATTGAAAAAAATCTTAAATATTACGGTAAGACTGCAGAAATCATAGTAAGAAAAAAAAACTTAAAAATATTGAATAAAACAATAAGTATTTCAAGTGTCAGATCTATATGTAATTCTAGGCTCTATAAACTCTATTCTAGCCATAAAGAATACAACATATTTATACTAGTAGAGAGAATGAAAATGTATATGCGCATGCAAGAACCGATCAAATTTTGACTACGCTCAATCAACGTTCGTTCAAAAAATTGGTCAGATTATTTATTTTTTGTTCCTGGTATTTCGGGGGGAGGGGCTTAAACTCTCAAATCCCCCCTGCGTTCGGCCCCTGACTGCAAACTATGACAGTAATAATACACAGTATGACTGTGTGTATGAATCAATTTGTAGATTTGAAGATGTATGTTTTTATTTTCGCTTTATCAGTGACATGGTTACGATTGATGAAATGGGATTACACGAATGGGTTTTTTTTATAAGCGTTTAAATTTAAAATTTTGACGAAAATTGTAAAAATTACGGCATTGCAAAATATGTTTAACCCAGTGGTGTATCCAGGAATTTTGTTTGGGAGAGACTGACCAGTTACATATTACTTTACAAAAAAAGCATAATAACTGCAAAATAAGTGATTAAAAAGACCTATATTTAAAATTTTAAAATAATTATTATTTTAATCATAATGTTAATTTTAGTCATCTAGTTTTTCCACTGTTTGAAAACTTATCTAGTACCAAATCCTACAAGCCGTGACTCCGAAGTTGTATTTCGAAGATAATTTTTCAACCTTCTTAATGTTTAAAAACTTCTCTCAGCAGTGGGTTTTGGTGGTGAAGGTGTATGTAATATAACAATATTAAACAATATATACGTAATACACGTATTATTTTACTTTTAAGCTTAATATTTTATTCGTCAAACTGTATATTAATTAATACTTAATGTAATAGATGGTACCATGATGTTGTTTTAAATATATTAATATGTTTAGAAATAATAATCAACAATAGCGGCCGACAACGAGCGTACACGCAGTTAGTTTTAAAAATAAATTACCTAATTATAGTAATATTATAATAATATTAAACCGTATGGACGAAATGTGTAGCCGTTCGTTTTAAACGTACCCACACGCACGCTATTGCAGCGCCTACGCTTGTAATCATCTTATAACGTACGTAATCTATGACAGAGGTTCTCAAACTTTATTTTTTCGCGTACCACTTACGGTAACATGACGAAAAATAAAATGTAACTATTTAAAATTCGAATATATTTATTACGGCTTCGATACAGCTTAGCAGTCAATAGCCAAGATTTAGATTCAACCAAGTTCCATTTTGACTGCCATATTTCACTTCTATAACACCCTTTTAAACCATCCTGGTAAAATGTAACTGCTCTTGAAGTTTTAAACTTTGAATATGGTTCATCTCTAATCATATTTGGCAAAACTTATTGTAGAGAATTCATTATTTCTTTATGTGATAAAAAGCGCTCATTCAATGATGAATGTATATCATCCAAGTGAAGTATAAAAACTGTTCTCTTATTAAATTATTGAGTATTTTGAGAAGGAACATATTGGCGGTTTCTTTGAGTAATACATATTCGTGGCATATTTTCTTTCACATTTAATAAACCTTCTAAGCGATTAACTTCTTTATAAATCTCATTAAACTCGACGGTTACATTTTCTCTTAAAACATGAAGTTTAATTGTTACCTGATTCACTCTATTAATGGCGTTCACTAGATCAATAGTTTTACTTTGCGAGTATTCTGATAAATGATAAGTATAACTTAACAATTTGCATAATACGCAGACACGGAAAATAAAAAGTTAAAATTACAGATGCTATTTAACAAACTAGTTGTTCTCTTAAATAATAAATTAAATATTAATTATTATTATAATAATTAATAAAATAAATATCAATTTAAAATTTCCTGAAATTTTGGGAGGGGCAGCAGGTATGGATAGCAACAGAGAATATGCCACTAGTTTAACCAAACTTCGCTCAGAGTTACAAAACTGTATTTTGACACTAACTGATATAGATATCTTCTATTTTATATTGATAATATTTGTTCGTGTACTGTTGATGAAATATCTGCGTCTAATAGTTAGAATATAGATCTCTATCACCTACAGAAATTCGAATTTAAAATCAAGATCAAACGGCCGAGAAATTGAATGATGAATGCTACTATGTATGAATATTCTGTAAACCTGTATACAAAAGCTATACAATTATACATAATATCGAATATAGAATATTTTTATTTTTTTATGAATTTTGTAATAGTTTTAATAAAAATAGTTTTAATTTACTTGCAGTTAAGTTCATTTCATATTCGACAATCACTTGTCGATAATTTGCTGGTGGATTGTCTACAGCAAACTTTGTCACTACAGTTACATTATGACCTCGGTGAGCTAATTCTAAAAATAACGGCTGAAAAGACACAAGGTGACTCTTCCAAGGTGATGGTACAAAAACTAGTATATTTGACGACTTTATAGGCGCAAAAAATAATGCTGTTAGTGCCAATATCAAAATGAATTTCATTGTCATTTTATATTCCGAAATAATGTTCACAAATAATCTGAATAAATTTTACAATTCGCCTTGTGAATAAAAAAAAAATAATTTAAATTAGTATGTATTTGTAATACTACGAGTAAATATTACTAAAATTAAGTATCTATTTACTATGCAATATGTATACCAAAGCTTAAAATAATTTAATGGTTTTTAATGAACCTTAATAGAGTGTACAATTATCAACGGAAATCAGAAAATTGTATACCATGTATAAAATAATTAGATATAATGAAGTAAATTAACCTTGGTTAAAAATTTCAAGTTCAATTGTAAGAATTCTTAATGTGTTTCAAAATACTCAACCTTCAATAACGTAATAGGTATAATTGTGAATGATATAAATATTATATTATCATTATAAATTAATGAATTTTATTTTGTTTATGATTTGTATTGCTCTAATAATAGCAAAGAAAATTATTATATGGCTATTATACAAATGTATTGAACTTTGAATCTGATTGAAAACAATTTACACGAAAAGAATAATCATTAATATCATGTACGTATTTTTTATTTTTTAATGAAAAAAAAAATATATTATTATTGAGTTTAACTTTATAGGGAAAACTTACCCGTTACTCGAGTCGTCTCAAATAGTGAATAATGTTCACATAATATTTGGTTTTACTTTTTAGCTTTAATTTAAATACAATAATGTTATGATATGGCGGCGCAGTATCTGTTATAAAAATGTTATAATCCTAGATACAGACTGAACTAAAGAAAATTAAATTATTATTACACAATATACATATATATTTAGTCCGATTATTTAAGTTAACATTTGAAGTATAAAAAACTATTACTTAAATCATGACTATCAATTCACTAATACGTTTCGAAAAATAAAATTTAATTTTGTTTTAGTGTTGTAACAAACAGCGATGTTGTCTGTAGACCGGCAGTACGGCGACTGTATATAGCATAATACTATGTACAGCTTTTATGGTGGACGGGTAACTGATTCAGAAACCAAACCGTATACATTTATAATACCACAAATTTGTTGTTTTAAATCAACTAACCGACTATAATAAATTAAAAAATAAAAATAAAAATCGCAAATAAAAAAAAACCTCAATAATATTGGTAATTATACATCATTATCTAGACATACTTAACTAGACGAATAGACGTGCCCATAGACAATTGGAACGAAACTATTAAGTGTGACTGTGTGAGTAGTGTAGTCAAACGAAATAGTTATATTAAACATTATGTTGCATAATCTCCAATATAATCATACCAAGTAAATTATCTTTCGTACAAACAATGCATATAAAACGCCGTTGTTTTAGATTCTGAGTGTAGCGAAGAATGTATTGGTTTTACAATGATGTTTATTTTTTTTGTTTTGTATACTATGACAAACATTTTTACCAGAAATCTTGCTTCGATATGTAAGTGTGGCGCCTTTTCTGAAACGCGATTTTGTCTATATGGCACTTAAAGATCATTTTTGATTTTCAAAGCGGTTTTCACAATATCTGGGTAAACACGGGATAAAACATAAGAAAAACGGGAAAATTTACAAAACTAATGCTTTTATTAATTTAAAATTTTTTTTGGTTGGAATTGAGTTGAAAATATCCATATGGACTTTAAAAACTTGAAATTTGGACATAAAACTTATGTTTGCCTTTTTTAGACGTGGTCAAATTTATAAAAAAATTTAATTATTTTAGAGCTATTTATAGACCATTTCATTTTGCGAGTTTTTCAAGTAATTTGTATTCGGTAGGTAAAGTAGTAGGTAAAGGTGTAGTAAAATTTTTAGATTAAATAGAAATGCTTGATAATTTAATAGGAAGTTCATTAAAACTCTTACTTTGGGGTAAAAAAAAATTGAGCTTTATGTAGTATATTTTTTTTATAAAGGAATTTTTAACAAGTTTTGATGAAAGTCGTTTGAGTAAAAAATTATGCGGAATAAATCTAGTTATTGATCTATGCAAATTGTTCAATTGTTTTCGTTTTTATTTTTTTCTGAACATTTATTTATAATTTAAGAACGATAGTAAAATCAGAATTGAACGGAATGAATAAGTTTCGAAATTGTAGATTTTTAAAGTACTGATATAATGAAAATATTATTTATGTTACGTTAAATAATTCAATATTGCCAATTATATGTCTGTCATAGTTTAGTAGCAGTACGTACGTGTATGTGGGATGATAATCCCAGAGATGGCAAGTTCAAACCCGAGTTCCGAAAAACTGTTTTTTGTAAAACCACTTCGGGTAGGTAACAGGGAAAAACAAATGCATTTTTGGCTGTTAATATTGTATTTCTTTCGATTTTTTTTTTAATAGGTTTGTCTTCGAAGGGGAAATCGATTTGGAGAAAAATTTAATTTTTATTTTCATTCCCTAAAGACAAAAAAAAAATAACTTTTTATTTATTCACTTTAGACAATTGATTCAAAATAGCCATTTTATAAAAAATGTCATTAAACAATTTTGTATGTACCTACCACATATTCATATCTGATGAATAATTTCTTAGTTATAGCAGTTTTAATTAGGCGTTAAACCAATTAATATTCAATAAAATAATACGTTATGCGATAAGGAATTACAATAGACACGCTAATACTTTCTATTGATTATTAATTGTTTTCACGCTAAATTTCAGGAAATTAAAAGGGCTATAATTAAGAAGCAATTAATCGAATTAATAGATAAACTAATAATCGAATGTGAAAATTGAAAACTATTTGAAAATTGTCTAAAATAATAAAATAAAAAGTTATTTTTTTTTTTTATTTTTAAGGGATTAATATAAAAATTTAATTTTTCTCCAAATCGATGTCCCTCTTGAAACAAACCGATCGAAAAAAAAATCGAAAACAATTTAATATGAACAGCGCTAGAAATATCCGTCAAACTCGGTGGGACACACTGTATATTAAATTACCCTCTGTAGAAGAAAGGAGATATCCTATCGTCCCAACTTCTCATCTACAACAGTGATCCACCCATCGTATGAGGTATATCCGTCTTTTTTTTAATATCGAAATATAATACTAATTATTAATATTGGAATAGAAAAAATATGTACCCATTGGTAATGTATCATATTCAATGCCGTTATGAACATGTTGTCGATGTCGTCGTTTCAATAAAATTATTGTTAGATATAATATAGTAAAACTCGTTAGATATAGAGTATTTCGGTTTATTTCCAGACTACACAATCAATACTTACGGGACAATACTTACACTACGAGACTACTTTATTTAAAAATAAATCTCATTTAATTGCCTATACTAGCGGTTCCCAACATTTTTAGTTGTGCCGACCACCAATTTTGTCAAAAAAACTTTGAAGCCCACTAAACTAATATAGTATATACAGGTAAAAATAAAAACAAATAGGCTTATAGACACCTATATACGAATGATCAATTTATAGTCTGTATATAGTACACGTATATACCATATACATATATATATATATATATATATATTATATATATTATATATATTAAATATGTACACAATGTGCATACTGCACATACGTCATTTATGAAAAAAACAAACCGTACGAAAAAATAAAAAATAAAAATTTTTACGAGTATAAAAAATAAATTAGTTTACGATTGTATTCAACTTATAAACAAGTAGTTAAAGTTAAAACAAAATCAATGCCATTTTTTACATTGTTTTTCTCCAACGAGATAATCAATATCGGAAATATTAGGCGTGTGGCGATTAGGTTGTGGAATGTCGATAAATGAACAGTCATATAAACATAACCATAACGGCAACGTCTATGAGAAAGTTAAAATTACGAGCCGTATCTGAGAAGGCCAATGGGGTCTATATAGAACCCCTCACTCACCCCCCACAAATATCAACAACATTTTACAAATTTTAATTTTTGATACCAATATAAATATTTTCAAAATGATAAGTTATCGTTTTTAGATTTTTTTGTAATTGATCAATACGGAGTATAATTTAATTTTTTATTTCACCGAAAAACGTAAAGGTATCTACAAGTATAAAACAATAAATTATTAATTGAATTAAATTATGCATTTAATTACTGTAACAGATACATTTAAAGGGGTTTATTTTTAAATCTATTGTCTTAAATGTATTGTTAACGGCGGGGGTTATGCTATGACCCCAGTAAAATTTCAATTTTATTTTTAAAAAAGACGAGTGAAAAAATGGGTATATATCTTGGATCTCATACAACAAATATTTAAGAACCGCTGTTATTAATAGCAATAATAATTAACGCTCGAACACATAATTCGTATTCAATTTAATATGAATGACCATACATTGATAAGGTATTTAAGACAATATTCACAGATTTAAATTTAAAATAAAAATGTATTAATAATATTACGAACTTTTAATTTTAATTTTTTTGAATAGTAAATTATATACTAATTTTAGAGTGTGCTTAGTAATACGATAGCAAATAAAAATTAAAAATAGTATAATTGAAATAATAAATGCAAATATATCTAATGAATAGTATTGGTACCATACTAATTCTACTGCTGGTGAACGTAAATGATGAGCTCCTTTATGCCTAATAACGTATTCTATCCAATACACCGCCTTCTCCATAGATGGCATAGGTCGATCATTGAATATTAAAGACATCCTCTTTGCATTTTCGGTAAACCTAAAATAATATTCAAAATTATTATTGTATGGCGATAAATTATTGGGGTTAATATTATTATTTGTTACGTGATATCGTAAATAATATATTACTATTATTTAAACTACTTTAGACACTTTTGAAATATCATTAATATAATAAAATATACCTACATGACTTTATTTTACATTATAAAAAAATTTAAATACTTTATGCAATTTAAATGTTGTATACATTAACTCACTATAATTAGAACAGAGGACTTATAATATTTACATATATTTTTTCATATTATTAAAAAATATAGCAGAGTAAGAATCAAATATGTTTTATGCTAAAACGAAAACTATATTTGTAATTTTATTTTATATATAAATGAATATTTTCAGTTTTTTTGTTAATATGACATGTTTTTTCTATATTTTCATATTTGTTGAGACATATTTTTTAAATTAACAATTGTATCAATATTTTCCGCAACGACATTCTCATTTAATTTAAAAATTCAACCAAAATTGTTACAATTAAAGAATTTTTAATTTTGATCATATAATATGGTTGTTGACTGTTTACGGATGCAGATTTTCTTTAAAAGCGCTTGAGGATCGCCAATTTTCCATTTATTAATTTTATTTCAGGATAGATAGCTCTTTAATATGTAACGTACCGTACCCCTGACTATGTACATGATATGTAATTGATACACCGATAATGTATTCACAATCCAGTAATCTGTGTTGACATAGACTAAATAATTCTTAAATATTTTAAAAACTAAAATATTTGTTTGTCATTTTTTAGAATTGGAAGAAATATTTGCAAGTTGTATCTATTGATTACCTAATTTATTTTGAGTATAAATACATGTATATTTTGTAACTTTCTAGAAGTACAAGGTCACCTGTCTTACTCATAATGTATAAAGACTAGATATATGTTTCAGTACCAAATCATATAACGATTACAAAATTAAATTCTACATTTCAAATTTAAACATTTAGGAAGTGAAATATAAGTTAATGTAGTTAATGACCATTCGATACACCAAGAATAAATACAAAATTAAAAAACAGTAAACAATAACAAGTTCAAATTATAAAGTTTATAATTATTGTAAAATATAAATGTCTTAATTTATATTTGACTTACTTGAGATCAAACAAAACAAGTTTTACGTCTCTTTCGAAAGCTTCTTCAGTTAAACTAAAAATGTTACCTACAATGCCAAACCCATTTTCCTGACTTATTCTTAAATTTTGATGTTGGTCCCCGAAAACTGGAAATCCGATAAATGGAACTCCGGCGTCAATTGTTTCCATTAAACCATGAATTCCTCCATGAGTAATAAACAATTTACAGTTCGGATGCTCTAAAATATATTAAATTTGAAATCTATGATTCAATAGGCAAAACATATTATTATTAATTGTTACTTAAAATGTCCACTTGCGGTAACCAAGAATCAACATAGAAATTATCTGGAAAACCCTGTGTATCATTATTAGTCCATCTGAAAATAACCTTCTGTTCCAAACGACCCAAAACTTTTTTGAAGATATCCAAAGTATGTTTTGATACATTATCCATATTGATTACAGTTCCAAAGTTTAAAAATACAACACCTTTAGTTGCCGTATCCATATATTCTTGTAGTTCCTAATACATTATAATAATACAGCACAACGTATATGTAATATGTATAACGTATANATAAAACCTTAATCAAATCAACAACATACCTTATTCATTTTCTTAGGTGGTCTAAAATGAATACCAGGAACTTCGATAAAACTCGGTACATAGGGTCGTGAACTGAGAATCATAACATCAGAGTCGATTAAACTAAGTGATACGTTTTTTAGCATTTCCGTCATCGTAGGTCTTGTTTCGTATCCAGGATATTTGAAATATGTGTTCATCATATTTTCCATTTTTGGATTATAAATTATTGGTTCGACAAATAAAGTGTATAAACCAAAGAAAGTGTTTAATAATCGATTTTGGAAATTGAGTGATTTACCGCTATCGGTTTTATAATCTTTAATGTAGGAAAAATCAAAGGGGTTCGCTGCTGAAATGGAGTGTGTAGCACAAGGTGATACGGGAATGATATTAATTACTGGAGCTCTGTATTTATGACCCATAGCAACGGTACATTGCTGAAAAAATGATTCCACAATAACCAAATCGAATGTTGATTGATCTTCTTTAATAAACTTTTGTACATCTGGAGATGATATAAATTGCTGAGTCAAATTGAACGCGAGTATATTTCGAATATTTAATTCCTCGAATGCAATTAAATACTTATTATTTTCCATGAATAACAAATTCTCTAAATAAAAATAAATATCTATCATTAATTATATTATTATCATAATTTAATAAATTTACGATTAAATTAAATACCTATGCAATCAATTGGAAAACTCAGATGATAAATGTCAATTTACATCAAATAAATACCAGATACCTGCACACAAATGCGTCCTTTTAGAAATGTCTATCATAATTTTTAATTCGTTTTTAATTTATAGAGATATTTTTAAATAACAAATAGTAATCAAACTAGTATTTTATATGTGTTTAATGAATAAGTACAATGGATTCAGTTTATCACACAAACAAATTAAAGATTAAAAAATGTAAATTTTTTTCACCATATCATTATATGTAAAATTTAGTAGTAAAAATTAGACACGTTCATTTAAAACACAACCGGATCTAGGGTTGCACGATTATTTTTTTTTCCCACAATAATCGAAAACTATTAAAACAATCAATTATTGTGAGAAAAGAAAAATAATTGCGCAGCCCTAATGCATCTACACCTTTGAAATATATTATCAAAGATCTTTGATCGTTATATAATAAAAGCTCTCGGGTGGTTATAAAAAAATAATAATAAAAAAATTCTGCAATGTCTAATTATCAACTCGTCCCTTAATGTATAAATTACTTTATAGTATGGTTTTTGATTTTTAAAATCCAAGTAATTTATTTCCAAATTAAAAATTATCAAGCTACCTTTTCTTTTTCTCTTTTGCCTTCATCCCAACTATTATTAGAGTCAGAAACTTTCGTCCTAAAACTTCCATTGAATCCAATCCTCCACAACGTCCATGTATTATACACCTGTCATCTTTATGTGATTCTCAATTTAAACCCCTCTTTTCGGCCTTTTTCTTACCCTCTTTCCTGCTACATCTATTGTTATTATAATTCTTCCTGCTTTTGACTCCTCTCTTCTCATAACTTCACTACACCATCTCAGTGTATTTTATCTCATTTGTCCACTATCGAAGCCACTTCTAAGCTACCTCATATGTACTCATTCCTTATTCTATTTTCTCTCATCATTCCACTCATCCACCTAAACATTTTCATCTCAAGTACACTCATTCTCTGTTCTATTTTTCTGTCTACCGCTCAACACTCTAAACCAGCGATTCTCAACCTTTTTTCATTCATGCACCCCTTGACCACTCACTTTACGGATCTCCAAATGCCAATTTTCATATATTTTCGCATAAGATAGATATGAATTAACGAAATAAGTTTAATAATAAAAATTTGATTTATTTTGATCAACATGCGCAATACATTGTATATATAAAAATAATATTGAGTTAAAAATGTAATTTTAATGTGATCCTTGAGATTGTTTGCTAGCACTTAACTTTTTGAAATCTGGCATCTGGTGAAATACACTTATAATAAATCATATAAGTTACGAAAAACCTATTTACATCATTTACAATATTTCACAACTAGTTTCACAAGTAATTTCAATTAATTACAACAAATTTCAATTTTTCCGCCATTACGCTTTTTTTTCCGGGGACCCCCGGTTGAGAACCGCTGTTCTAAACCATACAACATAACCAATATCACCACACTCTTATAGAACTTACCTTCGCATCTCATTGGAACTCTCTTGTCACATAAAACACCTGACGCNAAACCTATTAAAGTAAATTAAAAGAACAATTTCCATTAATTTGGGTTTAATTATTAATAATTTAATTTAATCTTTTAAAATAAACTTAAACATATTGCATTATCCAAAAACTTTTTTTTAACTACTGTATGTATTTTTTCCTATTTTAAAGTGATATTTGTTCTCGTGTTTTTGACAAAATATTCAATAGGTATACATATTGGTACTTCACCAATATCAAAATATCGGAATTAAGTGTAAGATTAATCGAACGAAAAAATAAGTGGTACTCGAATGTATGAATAGTAAATACACAGTACACACTGTTTACATAGTATGGTTTTATAATTATGTATAGAAAGTTAAATATTGTGTATTTCAAAGTAGTTTTAGCATTAAATTATTAAACTTACTTAGTGATAAATTAATTTCATAATTGACAATCACTTGTCGATAATTTGCTGGTGGATTGTCTACAGCAAACTTTGTCACTACAGTTACATTATGACCTCGGTGAGCTAATTCTAAAAATAAAGGCTGAAAAGACACAAGGTGACTCTTCCAAGGTGATGGTACAAAAACTAGTATATTTGACGACTTTATAGGCGCAAAAAATAATGCTGTTAGTGCCAATATCAAAATGAATTTCATTGTCATTTTATATTCCGAAATAATGTTCACAAATAATCTGAATAAATTTTACAATTCGCCTTGTGAATAAAAAAAAAATAATTTAAATTAGTATGTATTTGTAATACTACGAGTAAATATTACTAAAATCAAGTACCTATTTACTATGCAATATGTATACCAAAGCTTAATATAATTTAGTGGTTTTTAATGAACCTTAATAGAGTGTACAATCAGAACTTCAAAAAACTATAATTTCGAAACTAAGACAGTCCGCTCAATTTTGTCTTTACCATCGATGTTAAATCGGCAATACACATATTTTTAAAACAAATGATTGAAAAATTAGATTTGTTCCACGTGATTTTTTACTCAAATGATTTTCGTCAAAATTTGATACTAAAATTAATTTATAAAAAAAAATACTACAATAAGCTTATTTTTTTTTTTTTTTTTACCACAAGTAAAACTCAATAAACCTACTGTTATATATTCAAACATTTAATTTTTCAAATGAATTGGGTCCGCACGCGATGCTGTGTTTCTTCTATGAACTCACCCGTGTTTATACATATGCAAGCGCGAGGGCACGTAACAGGAGCGACTTTGATAAAATATTAAAAGTCAAAATTTTAAATGATCAGAATAGATCGAAGATTATATTCATACATACAAAGTGGTATATTCTGAAAGAGGGGTTCGGCTTGCACTATATGTATAGGTAGTGATAGCACCTAAACCTGTGTAAGTATACGTCACTCTGAATGATTTAGATTTACCATCAGTTGAATACGTCAATGTACGATGCTGTTTAAAAATAAATCCCCCTCTCCTTCCATAAATGCTTTTTACATGGTAATTTTTGTAACAGAGTGTTTAAAACCCAGTGCTCAATGTTCAAAAATGGTAGTCGATAAGAGGATCATGGCCCTGTGTGTAGGCAAGTATCGAAAAATATATTTGCCTTTGAAAATATTTGATTTCGCCACGCCACTGAGTAAACGTATTCAATATTAAACCCATGTACGTTGCATCGAACGCAAAAGTTGTACATTCTCATAGTGATTAGGTACATCAAAAGCGACGTACGTCAACAAATCTAATGTAAAAAATTCTACAGATTGATTAAATAAAGCGATTCAATTTCTAACACTAATTTGTATTTATCATTAAGTCCTAGTTACATTTTTGATTTTTTTTTCCCTAAAATTGAAGTATGAATATTTTTTTAAATTTTGCTCTTATAGAAAAAATTATAATGACTAAATAGTCTAAAATCGATTTCAACTTTCAGGTTTACTTGACGAAAAATTAAAATCTATTTTCAAAATTTGTATAACTTCACTGAAAAATCATCGGTACTTATATGAAATGAAATACATTTTAATTTGTAGGCTGCTAAAAAGCAGTTATTTTAAATTAAATCCAACGAATTGTTGTTAGGATTAATAAGTAACAGAATAGTGTGTAAATCGTTAGTAATCATATAATCTCATAAACGGACATTAGCATTAAGAAATTCAATCCGGATTCACCCAAAAGGCACCCCTAAACTAATAAAAAACAAGCCTTTACTTCTTAGAACATACACACCCTCTCTTCCTCAATTTATTTACCAATTATTTATGTCTATATAAAAATGTTTAACAGATTATTTAAAAAGTATTTTAAAGTCAACCTTAAAAAATTACTCCACTTTACTCAAATTAAACTAATTACTCCTTTCCATTTTGTCCGACCACACGTAATCCTGTGTTTCACATTCTCATAAAAGCCACCGTTCTTTTATACAAAAAATCCTAGGTACTCTCAACCTAGCTTGTAACTACTTACTGTTGTTAGCTGTCTTGACCTGTTCCTCAAAAAATAAATTCTGTTTTACTTCTACTTATCCTTTGTCCCTTTCCTTCGAAATCTACTCTTTATTCCTCAAGCCTACTGTTGACTTATTCTATACGATTTTCAGAATAACAGCGCACCACGTCCATGCTTTCAAATGATCGTCAGAGAAACTCTCGGGTCCCGTGACCGTAGTCATGCCGCCGGCAATGGTCAGTGAAGGGAGAGATATGCATGCACACCAACCGATTTTAGTCCACCTCCCGGTGTGTTCTTATTCTGAAATTGGTATAGATTTTCTCCTATCAAAGCTCTATCATCATGCACATGATACCTCCCCTCATCTGTTTTCCCCGCTCACATCAGTGATGGGAAAAATTTGTCAAATTCTTGTTTAGAACGTTGGGAAGTTATAGGGTAAATTGAATGTATAATAATACGCAATGATTAACTATTGCAAACGAAAAACAATTCTGAGCGGAGTTCGATTAATAGTGTTGCTTTGTAAAATTTTCAAATCAAGCAGTAATATTTACGAATTTCTTCAAATTTCATACATAAATTCTTATAAAAAAAAATAATAATATTATATTAAACTTAATTTTTTTTTTACCACAAATTACGACTTATAATAAACCTCCTGTTAAATTGTCTAGCATTACTATTTGGTCTAACAATTTTATCCATAGAGTACCTACCGAACAAAAATTACTTAAAATTCCCCTAAAATTTAAATATACATAAATAGCTCAAAAATGGTTACAATGTTTTGAAAATATTATCATGTCTAAAAAATGTAAATATAAATTTTCGGTCCAAACTTTAATTTTCTACAAATATTTTTAACTGAATCAAAACAAAAACCAAAACTTGAGACCATAATACATTTTATACATTTTCTTGATTTTTTCCAGATTTTTCCCATTTGTTATGACTTTAGCTGAGAAAATCAAAAAATTACCTTCTTAAATTACCACCGTAGTCAGGTTTCTTTTCAAAAATGGGTGCTATACTTGAAAATCGAAGCAAAACTGCTGGTAGAAAAGTTATCCATTAAAAAAAAATTATAATAATAAACGCCATTGTAAAACCAATCATTCCTCGCTCGTTTTAGAAAAATTAAAAATATATAGTAAAACTGCAAAACCAATAGATCCTTCGCTGCATTCCTAATCTGAAATTCTAATAATTTGAATCAAGCATTACTATATTATTATTACCTATTATAATAGGATGAACGGGACAATTTACACTTTCATAAAAACACTGGGGGTCACCAGAAAAAAAAGAAAAGAATAAAGTGATATTATTATTTATTTTTTATTTATATTATAAACACGGGCACCTCGACTGGTCAGTGATTACTGATTTGATTTAGTTTAGAGAAATAGAAAATGCTCGCGATTGATAATAGTATTCATGCCGTCCATCGAGTCTTATCGCGAAATAACTGACTCCCGGGAAATCCCACCGTATTCCTACGTTTTATAGTACAAACTATAAAAATGTTTATTAATTACAAATTAAATTCACAATAATATTATAACAAAATCATAATATGATCGTATACATTTTACGTTTTAAGCCGGTCCCACACGACTCGTGTAAATATCGGCGAATATTCGTCAATCGTACTACTTTGCGAATCGTGTGTGAGGTATTTAATTGTAAAGCACGACGATCTTTTTTACTCGCCGAGTCACTCGCGGTTTCCCGTCGGTGTCGGATACAACACGAGTGACTCGTGCTGATAAAAAATTTAATTTTGGATTTTTCCCCAAAATAAACTATCAATTTATTGTTAATGTCATTATTTTAGCAGTGGTATTAGTAGTCGCGCGTCATTCCCGCACGAATCGTGCACTCGGCAATCAATCGGAGTCAATATTTCAATAATCTTTAATTTTTATTATTTAATTTTTAGCAAAGTACATACGATTGACAAATAATCGGCGAGCACACAATTCGTGTAGGAGTAACATAATTACAAACATCGTGCATTGTACAAACTTGGCAAGTACACTCACCGAGCATACGCTCGCAAAGCGCACGAGTCGCGTGGGACCGGCTTTACGTATTCCGCCGCGTCCGTCGTGTATAACTACTCAGACATCATAAACCAATGCATTTGGAATTCGACGGAAAACGCCGCGGAATACGTCGTGTACCAAAAGTAAAACGTACAATTCATACGATCATATTACGATTTTGTTATAATATTATTGGGACTTAAATTTTTAATAAATAAAAAAAAAAAATGAATTTAATTGTGGGAGGGGCCAAAATAATAAAGGATTTGAGAGCCGCGGGTTGGACCACTCTGTATTATATATAATGCATAACTTACCAGTTACTTAAATTTTCTCATATAATTAAAAATGTGTACATAACCATTTTTATTTTTCAATCTTTCCGGATTAATTTCAATGTATTACAATTTAGCGATTACGCTTATTAAAAAAAGGATATTGTATTCGTGTAGTTAAACTAATTATACAACAAATAAAAAAGTTACATATTTTTGCTTATTAATATTCCTGTTCTTTAAATATGAAAACTATATCGTTTAAATGGTGAATGTAAAATTAAAAGAACATTGAAAAAAAAAAATGTATAACAATATAAATAATAAATTATGACGTGCCTGATAAACAAAAATGTTGTCTTAACGCTAGTTGTACAACGACTGAGTACCGTTATATTTTTTTATAAACTTAATCGGAAATCAAGCACCTCTTTTAGCAGGTGGACAAACCAGTGGGTACCGGTTATTGGGTAACCTTATGATCAAAAGTGTAACTTTCCCTTTCTATTGGCTGCACACGAATTTCGTCTCGGATATTATTTTCTTTCATACCAGTTGTGTTCAAAAATTATTTTGTTACATACAAGTGGCGTCTCATAAACTAAATATAGTATAGACTATGGAACTCCGGCGTCAATTGTTTCCATTAAACTATGGATTCCCCCATGAGTAATGAATAATTTACAATTTGGATGCTCTAAAATAAATTAATTAAAAGACTTGATAATTAAAACATATTATTAGGAATTATTACTTAGTATTTCCACTTGTGGTAACCAAGAATCAACATAGAAATTATCTTGAAAACCCTGTGTGCTATTATGTATCCATTTAAAAATAACGTTCTGTTTTAAACGGCCCAAAACTTTTTTGAAGATATCCAAAGTAGTTTTTGATATGTCATTCATTCTCAATACAGTTCCAAAGTTCAAGAATACAACACCTATACTAGCTGTGTCCATAAAATCTTGTAGATTTTACATCATAATACAATAAAACATACAACATATTTTTAGTGTCTTTTAATTTATAAAGGCCTTTATGGGAATTTAGGAAAAAGATAGAAAGATCAGTTAAACATTTTAAAACCGGAAATCGATGGCACGATTTTGCGATGAATAGGATAAAGTGGCAGGAAATATATGTTTGATAGTTAGATCCTAATGACCGTATACTAAGAAGAAGAATATGCGAAAATAGTAGATTACACTATGAAACGTTTAGTTTTTTAAAATATTCTATGTGATAAACTTATAGGATTGTATATTATTCTAAATGTAATTGGTACTTATATTTATTTTTTTATCGAAAAAGTAATTTCTTAATTGATTGGTCATACAATTCACAAAAAAATAAATAATGGTGTACTACCTTTCCTGCTTACAAAATTACCAAAATAAAAATGCTATTGGTATTTTGTTTAAAGAAATTAAAAAATTAAAAAATATCAAGTGTATTTAGATAATATTTTATCCAAAAAAAGTTTTGAAATGTTTCATGATGAACTCTACTATCGCATCAAATTTGAACGACACTGTATTATGTATACTCGTACCTATCGTTGGATATTCAATTATTCTATTAATATCATACATAATCGAAAACAATTTTCAAATCAACAACATACCTTATTCATTTTCTTAGGTGGTTAATACCAGGAACTTTGAAAAAACTCGGTACATAGGGTCGCGAATTGAGAATCACAATATCAGAGTCGATTAAACTAAGTGATACGTTTTTTAGCATTTCCGTCATCGTAGGTCTTGTTTCGTATCCAGGATATTTGAAATATGTGTTCATCATATTTTCCATTTTTGGATTATAAATTATTGGTTCGACAAATAAAGTGTATAAACCAAAGAAAGTGTTTAATAATCGATTTTGGAAATTGAGTGATTTACCGCTATCGGTTTTATAATCTTTAATGTAGGAAAAATCAAAGGGGTTCGTTGCTGAAATGGAGTGTGTAGCACAAGGTGATACGGGAATGATATTAATTACTGGAGCACTGTATTTATGACCCATAGCAACGGTACATTGCTGAAAAAATGATTCCACAATAACCAAATCGAATGTTGATTGATCTTCCTTAATAAACTTTTGTACATCTGTACATGATATAAATTGCTGAGTCAAATTTAATCCAATAATATTCCGAATATATATATCCTCAAATAAAATTAGATACTTGTTATTTTCTTTGAAAAAATAATTCCTGACTAAACAAAAATAAATATCTATTATTATTTTATTATCATATTTGAATACATTAATGGCTAAAAAAAAATCCACTACTGGCTGCCTTTGGCTGCCTCTTTCGCAATTCTCTTATAAGCCGTAGTTTCTATTTTTGGCCAATACACCATCTTGGCAACCAATGTAAATATTTTAAATTTTAATTTGATTAATTTGATTTAATTTGATAAATTCAAAGGGATGAACATTTTTAGGTCTGTGGTGTGCCTTTTGGTGGTTTCAACTTTCAACATCTACTCTAACTATTTGTAAGCTCAAATTTCATGTTTTCACTGGAAATAATGGGTCTTAAAAACTCATGACAGTAAGTAAATTGATTACCATGTGCAAGTATATACATTTAGATAGACTTAGTTAACTCAAAGTTGAAGGGACCGGTCAGTGGTGAATAAGTTCAAGTTATCCGAAAATTCGAGTTATAGAACTTTTTGTTTTAATACCAATATCACAAATAATTATTTTAAAATCGTAAACATTGAAACGTGACGGAGCACGAAAGTGTATAAGTATGTGAGTGGATAACGTGTAGTATTATCAAGTGTTAAACCAGTTGTATAAACAGTATCAGTGACTATAACATTAATAAACTTTACTGGCTTTACTTTACTTTAAGAAGAAGAAGATGAAGTTGTTGTAATTCAGTTAAAAATATTTGTGGTGACTTGAAAAATGGATAAAACATTTCACATTTCATAATCAAATTTAAACGAAAATCGCAAAAAAAAATTACGGCACTTCAAATTATGTATTATCGAACTGTGCTCGGAATCTTCTTTTGTCAGCAATGGTTTATCGTTGCTTAAAGGTAAAAATAATATTTAGAAAAAAAGTGAAGTTTATATTTGTTATATTTATTTCCTATACATTTCTAAAAATTAATTTTCTTTTGTTCCTTTAAAGTTTGACTTCTTTGAATCAGTTGAGTAGTTTTTGAGTCTATTGACCACGAAAATCCATTTTTATACAGCAGATTTATTAATGCGTTAAATTCCTCTATGTTTAAAATGACAATAGATTTTAAAAATTAGGTATTCATAACTATAATAGTTTATTAATTCACATATATATGTATTCAATAATTTATAAAATAATAAATAAAATTATTTATATACTTAAAATTAATGTTATACATAGGGGCGGGGGGGGTGAGGTTAGAGGTTATAACCTTCATTGAATAGAAAATACAAAAAAATATGAGTAATCTAATATCAAAACCCATATAATTTATTATTTCAACTAATTTACGAGAAAGATCGATGTATTGATTAAAAATTGGATTTTTTATAGGATTCGGCTTTTAAATTAACTAATTTCCATAACTTAATTGAGTAGAGAAGATGATTTGACTATTTATTCACGATTATTATTTACCACATCTCCTCCCATAGAAAATTTCTAGGCACGCCACTGCTTACAATAGATGGATTCTTAAAATTTTGTTTGGTATTTATTTTTAATTGTTTTTATCTACTATTTGCTCATTTGGATTAGGGTACTGTACTTACACCGAAGTTAAGGAAGTTAACCAATGCACTCGTAGTATCTTGCCTCGCGCTCGCGAAAGTGTGGAAGTAGCATAATGTTTCATGAATACAAATGATACTGATATTATTAAATCATATAGTTATTGTTATATAGTTATCATATAATTTTATTTGAATATAAATACTTTGAGATAATCTTAACTTGTTTTTTATCATTTATATTAAAAAAAATATACGCAATAAAATTTAAAATGATTAAAATTACCTGTATAATATAATATTGTAGCTGTACCTAATTTATAAAATTACACTCACATCCAGTTGAATGAATAACAGTAATTTTACTTTTCTGTTCAAAACAATTAAAATAGTTATTAAATAAGCGTTTAATAATTAATTGCAATGTTTAAAATATAAGATTGAAATTTAATTTTACTTTAACAAACATACAATTCTTTAATCATGCTACCATTGCCAGGGCCGAACATAAAATGATTCGTTGAAATATAGCATAGTAACAGTTATTAAAGATTTATAAGTAGGTAATCAACCAACCTAAAATTAAAAATACCTGAAAGTAATGTTAAGTCAATGACAAGTATCAAACAAAATTTCAATTTCAGTTTGAAAAAAAAACTCCATATTAGGGTCATAAAGTATTTAAATAATAAATTTTTATGTTTATTTAACATCAATAAATGCCATAAATACAATCATAATGCTATAATAATTTAATCAATTTTATTATCCATAAGTATAGCATAAAATGGTTTTACTATGTGTTTTTTTTTTTTTTTTTATGTCTATAAGTAACTTTTCTACCGAAAATCCTGTTCCGAAGTATCAAACAAAGCACCCTTTCTGAAAGAAAATTTTATCTAATTGGCGCATTGAAGAAGTCATTTAATTGATTTTCCAAGGGATTTTCAAAAAAATTGGAAAAAAACCGAAATAAAATTATAGGTAAAACGAAAAATATTTACGGCGCGCCGACCTCTACGGCGTTACCGTTTTCATTGTTTTTAATTTTTGCAACTTATGTTTTTTACCAGAAATATTACGTAGAAAATATGGGAAAATTTAAGAAAATTATTATTTTATATTTTTGCTTTTGTTTTTAAATATAATTCTGTGAAAAATATTTGCAGAGTGTTAACATTTTGACATAAAACTTATATTTGCTTTTTCTAGGCGAGGTAAAATTTTCAAAATATTTAAGCCATTATTTATAGACATTTTAATTTTGCTTGTTTTCTATGTAATTTGTATTTAGTAGATACTCAGCTGTAGATAAAATTGTTAAACTAAACAGAAATGCTTGAAAAATTGACAGGAACTTCATTATAAGTCATGCTTAGTGGTCTACAGTAGATAAAGAAAGTCATTTTTTAATATCTAAAGTAGTTCCCCTAATGACTTGGAAAAAGGTACTATATAAGTTGTATTAAGTGATCTAAAAAACAAATTAGAGTGAAATGCATTAGTTTTTTTTTTCATAAGCGTTTATTAAGATCCAATTTTGACGAAAATTGTAAAAATTACGGCAATTTATAATATGTCTTAGCGAACTTCGCACCGAATCTTTCTTCACTAGCAATGATTTATCGTTGCGTACAAATATTAATTAAATAACTTTATTTATCCTACCTTCCCAACTTCCCACTTAACAGTGGTTGTACTCATCCCCAGTATCAGCTTGTTTTTTTTTTTTTATAACTTTTACCAGAGTTAAAATTTCAAATTTTTTGAAAATAGTTAAAATTATGACCTTACTTTGCTTTAATATTTTCCGAGTTATATGGATACAACTTTCTTGACTCTTTACAAATACTCAGCAATTTGAGATTTAGTTAATAGTTACAGATTAATACAGTTTTCATTTTAAGCTTATCAAAATGTATTTAACCTTACTTTGCTCACAATCGTTTGGCGTTAGCATTGTTAGTATCAAAATACAATAAATAACTTCTGGAGTGTATATACTTCAATTTTTTAGTTTATTTTAATTCAAACTAATAATCATTGTTTTACCTAATTAAATCTTAAATCTTAAATTTAATTTCAACTATTGTACACAGTAACATACTCAGGCGTGAGGGGCTAAATTTAAAAACAAATTTGAGTAAAAAAATGTTTTACAAAATACATAAAATACATGTGATACAATTTGTTGTACTTAGTTGAATAAGTAGTCACTTAGACCTCCTGGGTTCGCTATTGATTGCACGTATGATAAAAATTAAAATTATAAAATAAAACATCAAAAATTGTGTACATATTTTAATTTATTATATTACTGTATAAAAATAAAAGTATTTAGTATCAAGAACATTTTATTATGAGAAATATGTTTAACGAGTTGTGATGTTTTAACTAATAATTTAATCATTTTTCTGTTTAGTGAACAAACTACGTATTAATTTTATTATGCACATGATAATATAATACAATATAAATAATAAAAACAATATAATTGAAATGATAAATGCAAAAACATCTAATAAGTAATACTGGTACCAAGTTAATTCCACTGCTGCGGATCGTAAATGATCAGCTCCTTCATGTCTGATTACATATTCCACCCAATAAACAGCCTTATCGAGAGCTGATAATGGTCGATCGCGAAATATGGCCGACATTTTTTTTGCCTTTTCAGCAAACCTGCAATTATTATTTATGAATGCAATCAATTTTACAAAATATTTAAACAGCAATTGTTTAAACTTAAAATGGTTAAACCTTTAACAATAGACATACCTATCGTAGATGTTTTATTTAATATTGTTTTTAGATATTTTTCAATTAAATTTGTCAATAATATAATATAACAGTAATCACATTTTTCAAAACAATATATGTTTAATCTTAATGACACTTACTTCTGATCAGTTAATATACGGCTAACATCTTTTTCAAAAGTTTCCTCAGTTAACGAAAAAATATTACTCATAATTGCAATCCCATTATCCTGACTGGTTTTGACATTTTGAAATTGATCTCCGAAAACAGGTAACCCAATAATTGGAATTCCAGCATCTATGGTTTCAATTAAACCATGAATTCCTCCGTGGGTAATAAAAAGCTTACAATTTGGATGGCCTAAAATAAAATAAAATTATTTTTTTTTATTTTTTAATATTTATAGCTTGTATTTTATTATTACTTTTTTAGATGGGTATTTTAGAAAAATTTTATGCTAATATAATACAGGCTGTTCCACGAAGATATACCCCTTGAATATCCCCGGAGATAATAAAGATCGGTGCACCCTAGTTGCTTCCTGTAAAAAAGGTACACACGAGTTGCGCCCCACTATATTGGTTAGGTTGCAGATATTTATTTCGTTTTCAGAGGTTATCCGTAATGCATTAATTATAGGGGAGTCTGATATTATGTTTCGATATATTATACGAATATTACGTGCCTAATATTATAAATTACGATAATGGACGGATTTTGTAACTGATGCCTGGTTGATAAGCAACAATAAGCAAGTTCATATCATATCATTACAATTAGGTTTTTTTTCTGGCATTTTGATTGATATCATTATTGTTATTATTATTATTATTATTATTTATTTATTTATTTATTTATTTATTTTATGATATTACGGACTATATTGATTTTGATTAGATTTAAGTGATTTAAAATTTATTTATTTTTTATTACATTTTATAGACCATTTTTTAATTGACTCATGTTTATATTTATTTTAGTTTAAGAACCTTCGATAAAAATACACGAATTGCGATTTTTTGGGACGTAATTCGCATACCTTTTTTACGGAACGCAACTCATGTGCTTCCATAAAGATATCGAATTTCGGTTTTTTTTTTTATTGCTCACAGAGATTAGTACCATAAATATGTATATTTAAATTAAGTCTTTTATTGTAAAAAAAATTGTTTAAAATAACTTTATTTTATTATTTTTGGAAAATTTTAAAATAGCCATTCTGTAGATTCTATCATTCTGAAAATGTTTATGTATCACACATTTATATCCAATGAATAATTTCTAAGTAACAGCCGTTTTAAATTCTACTAATCCGTGTGAAAACCTATGTTATCGAGTAACGCGGTTAGGTTATTCCCTAGATAACATAATTTCTACAGAATAGCAATTTAAAAATTTTCTAAAAATAATAAAATCAATTTATTTTTTAAATTTGTTTGATAAAAAAAAAAATATAAATATTTGTAGTCCTTATCCCTGTAAATAATATAAAAAAACTGAATTTGATTATCTTTATTATCTCCAGAAATATTCAAAGGGTACATCTTCGTGAAACTGCCTGTATAAGCATTACTTTTATTTATGTGACCTCATAAACAATACAAATATGTACTAAATGAATTTAGAACTAATTTTCTAAACAATATCTTTAAGCAATCTTCAATTTGTAGTTAAATAAAATATAAGCCAAAAATGTTCTTGTTTCTTTTGTAATACTCCAAATGATCTCTCTCCCCGAAAAATAAAATTATTACCTACTCAGAATTTCTCTCTGCGGAAGCCAAGAATCGACATAAAAATTATTTGGGAATCCTCTTGTCTCATTATTAATCCATTTGAACACGATTCTTTGTTCCAATCGACCCAACACATTTACCAGAGCTTGAAACGATGGTTTGGGTATACTTGTAACGTTTAATATAGTACCGAAGTTGAAATAAATAACACCCTTATTAGCTCTGTCCATGAAATACTGTAGCTTCTGTTGGTAAAATAAAACATATTTTATGATAATTATAAAAACCTATATGATCTTAACCATAGATATAAATAAATAATAATATTGCATATTTTAAATTTTGAGCGGAGAGTAGTTATAACCTGTACTACAAATTATTATAACAAATTATTATATGCTTATACAGCGTAGTTTTACGATGATGTTTTTTTTTTTTTATATGTGAACACTTTTTCTACCAGAAAGCATATTCCGATTATCAAGTATAGTACCTTCTCTGGATAGTACTTTAAAGAGGTCATATTGAAATTCTCATTAATATTCGAGATAATGAGGAAAACCTAGTTCTTTAGGTTAAAATAGATTGAAAGATTAAAAATAAGGTTGTCATTGGCAACCGTTTTAATTTTTTTTTGTTATTATTAAGTTTTTATTATTTTAATATTTTTAAACAATCATTGCTGTCATGGAAAAGCACATTGTTGAAAAAGCAATACTAATGACAGAAATATATTAAAATAAAATAAATTTCGATTTCAATACATTCTATTAACTATTAATCTTTATATTATATTTCCTTATTCTATATTTAAGCATCAGTATCAATTGAACTCCGCTAAGAATCGTTTTTTAGTTATCAAAGATTAATCGTTGCGTACAGATATACATTAAATTACCCTCTATATCCTAACTTCCCAACTTTTCACCTACAAAATTGGCCCAACCATCGTGCGAAGTGTGTCAGTGCTTTTTTCTTTTTTTTTAAACCGAATACATGAAAACGTATAATATTCTTACCGCATTAATTTTCTTGGTAGGCCGTAAATGAATACCGGGTACCTCGATGTAACTCGGCAAATATGGTCGTGGACTAAGGATCATTACATCAGAATCGATTAAACTGAGTGATATATTTTTCAACATTTCCGCCATCGTGGGCCTTTTGTCGTACCCCGGATATTGAAAATACGTGTCCATCATATTTTCCAATTGGGGAATATACGTAATTGGTTCGAGAAATAAAGTGTATAATCCTACGAAAGTATTCGTGAACCGCTCCCAGAAATTCAGTGACCTACCGCCATCCAGCGTAAAGTCTTTAATATATGAAAAATCTGTAGGATTCGCAGACCAACGAGATATGCTTAGCCATGGAGTTACGGGGACAATACTAATGACTGGAGCGTTGTACTTATGTCCCAACGCAACGGTACATTCTTGGAAAAATGCTTCCACGATGATTAAATCAAAAGACGATTTATCTTCCTTAATAAACTTCTGGACCACTTTATCCGCTAAATACATACGAGTGCTTTCGACCAGAATTGTATTACGTAATTTCGGTTCTTCGAAAAACATGTAAAATTTGCTCCGCTCGTGCATTAAGAAATCTGATCCTAAAAATATCAGTTAAGCAGATAGGTACACAAAAAATTATTATTCTAATGCAATTAGATTAGCATAATGAATTATTAATTTTCTGAAACTTATTTCAATACAAAAAATATATACCTAATGTGAATTACAAATAACATTTATGATCGTAAAATACATTAATCTTACTTCCGTCAATATCGAACTCATACGAAGGAACTAATTGCGTGTAATTTCTTGGTGGATTTTGAATAGAAAATTTCGATACTACAGTCACATTGTGACCACGATTTGCTAATTCTGAAAATAATGGTTGGAAAGATATAATGTGACTTTTCCATGGCGATGGTATGAAAACAAGGATATTTGAACTTCTTATTGCACGAACATAAAAGTATAATAAAATTACAAATATCGCAATGTATTTCATTATTGTATATTATATATTCTTTGTCTTCATACTATGCAACCTGGAATAAAAGTAATAACAAAAATCATGAGTAATATTCGTATTATAAATAAAATATACCTAAACATATACATTTTTTTTTTTTTTTTTGACAAAATTAATTTAAAATTTTCATATTTATTTAAAAAAATATGTATACCTACATACAAATTCGTATTAAATGATAATTTGATTATTATTTATAAAAACATTATTAATACGTGACTGCTGCATGGGTTGCAACTGGGTAACCCCCCCCCCCCGTGTGTGTGTTATATTTTTATCGAAATTTCATGACATTTTCATGACAAATAATATACTTAATAGTTCTAATATATGTATATGTTACACAATATTATTATTTTATTGGCTAATTAGAAAGATAATATTAATACGTGTGAATCCACGTGTAGGCCGTTTTGAATTAAATAATATAACAGTAAAATAATGTGAGTAATCGTGATTTATAATTATAATTAATTAATATTACAAAAATCAAGAACAAAAGACGTCCTAGGATAATCGGGAAGGGCGCAACCACTGTTATAGATAATTTAATGTATACCTGTAAGCAACGATAAACCATTGCTTACGAAAAAACGATTCCAAGTGAAGTTCAGCTGATACTGATGCTTTGTCAATAATACATATATATATATATGTAATTTTATAGTAAAATAATTAAATAGGCTTTATATATTTTCTTTAGTAATATTTGTTAATTTTGTACCGATTATCCCAGTTTCCCTACGTTTTTCCGGTTTTCTCATGTTTTATCCCGGTTTTTCAAATTTGATGAGAAAACAAATAAACAATTTGAAATGTCTTGCGGCGATGAATTAGCTGAATATTAAGAGCAAAATGATCTTATTTTCTGGTAATTTTGGAAGCGGTTTAGAAATAAAAACAAGTTGTCGACGCCCGTAGCAAATAACGAATACGTTTTGTAGACTATGCGTCGACATTAGCGCTTAACGTGTTTTTACTGATCAGTATAACGTGAGACACTCACTATCTCGAAAAGTATAAACCTCTTTTCGGACATTTTTTATAGACAATTTTATGAATACACTCCCAAACGTAAAGGTAAATTAAGAACAGTTTGTTTTTTAAATTTTCAAAACGTTTAAAACTTTTATTCGTTGAATAATTAAATTCCTAATAATTTCCTTTCCCTAAATAAAACTATATGTAACGTACAATTCAATTATTACGCATAACGATATTTTAATCAAAATAATTGCAAATGCGTAACGAGGTACCTACCGAGAGATATTACACTATTACCACCGGACTACTTTGCTTAACTACCTTGCTCCAACATGATAATATTATTATCTATCATAATAACGAGCACTCGTTATCAAATTTTAATTAATGTAAATTAACTTATAGATTATTAAAATAAAATATTATGATTTCATCTAATAATAGTTTTGTCAACAGGTTTACAAAAATGCAATCTTTTAATTTTTTTTTTTTTATAATTGTTAGATATTATTAAGAGACTAAAAATAGTTTAATATGAAACTAAACGCAAATTTGTTTAACGAAAGGTGGCATTAATTTTGTAGAAAAATATTAATTCGTCGATAACAAAATATGATATTAAATGCCTCGAATGACGTGCCTGCGTGATGTTTAATTTAATATATAAACGATATAATACAAGAAAATATACTTACTGACCTAAAAAATCCACAACATGTCCAGTTCTACTAAACTAAATCATATCTATATTGTTATGAAAAATATACAGTATTTTTATAACGTATTAACGATTTTAATTGATTATTTAAATAGATAACTATACATATTTTAGATTTTAAATTATAAGTAAACAACAATTTATAAACAGATATCTAAAAGACGTGTTTTGTAAAACCACAGCTGCAGTTGTAGTGATAACTGTAGATTACTGATGAGTCGAAGAAATCACATCAGGTTAGGTTACTTATCAAACAAAATAATATCCACCACAAAATGTTCATAGTAGGTATGTAACATACAAGCTAACCTGTTTGAGTATATAATATAATCTATATTTTGTTATAATTCCCGGTCGTATAGAACAACTAATACCCAGATATAGGTAAGTACATTAAGAAACAATTTTATCTAACGCGCTTGTAGCAGAATACCTGTACTGAACACGACGTGGTCATTTATATAAAACCTTTTTTTTGTTTTATTTAACGTGAACAAATAACGTTAATTTGTTTTATGTTAATTTACAATGTTATTATGATTTATTCATAGAATTCAACATCATATTCGTATTATTTCATTGTACACACGAATGATGAATATTATATAACAGGTATATTAAACAAACAAAAAAAAGACTTAATCGTTTATATTTTATATAATTTGTTAACTATTTTATAAATGTAATGTGAAAAAAATAATTGTATTTAATTACGTACAAAAATGAAATGTTATAAAGTGTGTATAAAACGAGAATTGATCGTGTATGATCGTAGATGTGCACAAAGGAGATAATATTTTAATATATAACCTTGAAATTTATTAACTCATTCAACTACAATTATGAAGTGGCGCAATCGGGATTTCTCAACGGGTGGGGCCAAAAAAAAAAAAACACAAATTATATGTTTTTCTGTTAACGTTCCTTCCTTTATTACCTACTCATAAATATACTACACACTAAAACTATGAAAATAAACCTCACAATAAAATAGCATTAACATGAAAAGATTCTAATAAAAACGTTTACAAATACGGCCAATAGGGGGATGGGGGCATATGGGCAGTATGGCTACCGTGTGATCCCGGCTATACTAAACACTGAAAACTGAAACCGATTTGTCGTATATATATATTGATCTAATTAACAGACATGTGTTCCGATATCAAATTAATATTTATACATACATTAACAATTCATAAGAAAAAAAACTTTTTCGGAGATTCGAAAGGTAGTATTATACGTGAAAGCCATAACATGTCAGTTTTATCAGTAAGCATCAGTTAAATAGGTTTGTAAGTGGAGTGGACGAATTTTGAAAACTATTCGAACCAAGTAATTTACATTTTCTCTAAAAGTAATTAAAAAGAAATAATATAGCCGTTTCAAAGTAGTAAATTAATCAATTGTGTATACCCGATTGATTGTCCCGGAGAAAACAATTTGACAATGACAATGTTACCAGGAATTATTGGTGTTCCACTTAAAAATTAAAAACAAAGAAACATCATTGATTGTATCCAAAATAAATTGATTATAGATGACTATAGATATGAATTGTACTATGTTAAAACAATAGTGTATTTTATTCAAAATTGAATTACCATTTTATGTTACTGATTTGTAGTTGAAATTTAATAAAATAAAGCGTTCACAAATCATAAAAATTGTAATTTGTGTAGTATCGTGTGAAATAACGGTCAATATATTATTGATATTAATATTATCACTATTATTGATCATTGTAATAAATTGATATATTATCGCAAACAAAAAACTATTCTGACCGGAACTCTCAGTTAGACATTTGTTTTCTAAATTTGAATTAAAAAACATAATTAAATTTCAACTATTAAATAATACACAATTTGAAATTCAAATGCTTCTATTGGAAAAATTTTACATAAAACGATTTGTTTTTCTTTAATCAGTTAAAGCAACTTGCGACATACTTGTGTCGAATTTTTGAGTTTTTTTTTACTTTCGCTTCTAATTAAAGTTTCAGTTTTTAAAGATAGGTATTTTACGATAAATTATACTGATAAAAATAATATTTAATTACATTAAAGTTTAGAAATAAAATGTATTGCAATCTGCAAATCGAGATCTCGGTCAAATGAAATAGTTCCATGAATCCACCAAAAAAATAAAAATAAAAGTTGATTCTGTTTATGAAACTATACTTAACTAAACAAAAAGTTTTCCATTCGGTACGGCTATATTTTTCACAATCTTTAAAATAAATACCTAGTTACGTTATGTCTATAAAAAATACTCCGTTGGTTTTCGATTTAAAGTTTAAAGAAAACTTGAACCATTTTCAATTTTTCAAATGGGAATGTAATTTCAAATTGCTTATTCTTTTTGAGATTTTAAAATTAAAAATGAATATAGTGGCTATTTAAGTTTGTATTACTTATTATTAAAGATAGGCGATACTATAAGTGTATTCTCGATACTCGATACTTGCAATAGCTACTCGACTATCGTTATTTTTGTTTGTATGTATGTATATATAATTTATATACAAAATTCAAATATTAATATATTACCATTATAAATTTATTTATTACATTTAACTATTATTTAGAAACATTGTGATTTAAAAAACACGTGATAAAAATAAAAACTTCTTTAAATCATCTAATATATTTAACCACGACGTAATTTTAACATGAAAAATATCGAAATCGATTTTTTTTTTATGGACAAACTTTTTATTTAATTTTCATTTAAATTAATTCTACTTATTAAATGCAGTTTATTGTAAATGAAAATTCTCTCGTTATCATCAAATTATAAAATAAATGTTCACAGTATATTATTATACCACACATATCTTACAAAAACATTATAGGTATGCTTGGTGTTTAGGAGCATTAAAATCAGGTCTCCGTTTTAAAATTTTGATATTATGAATGCTGACAAAATCAGACAACATCAATAAATATATATTAATTAATAAATTAAGCTTGAGGGATTTAATATGAAACGTTAGGTTAACAAAATTAGTTTTACTTAAATGTTGTTGTTAGGTACATTTCCACAGGCGGTTTGAATGTTCATCGTGGTTTATAATAATATCCTGTGTATTTTCTGTTTAATCAAGTACAAAATTAATTACTATAATAATATGGACTATGAAGGGCACACGTTTATTAACTACTAGGAAAAGCCCGAAAATCAAATATCTACCGACTTCAGCGAAATACCTGCTTAATCTGAGAACTACCTCCGACTACAAATTCCTGAATTTTTGTAAAATCACAATTTAAACAACTTTAGAGCGGTATAGATACTGTTAATCTATTATCCATAGGTACCTACCTAAAACGCAAGAAATAGATAACCGATGGTAGATACAAAATGATTGAACTATTTGAACACAAATGCCAAGATTTATTTTCATGATTTATTTATTTTTCTTTAAAAAGTAGTAAAAAAAAAACATACACGACGTAAACTCCTATTTAAATTGAACAATGTAAACATATTAAACAATATCGACAAATTCAAATAAAAACTGTAAAAAGTTATTTTTTTGTTGAGTATAAAAATTGCCAAATTAAATAAAAAAGAACCTATAAAATATTAATTTATTATCAATTATAATCCACATTGAGTACCGATAATGTTATTATCAATTAGAATATTTCTTCAAGAAATATTATATGTTATTATATGACATGTAATTCATTATCTAGGTACGATAAAAATATAAGTAGATGAAAATATGTTCAAACCGTTTGACGATTTGTTTTTTGTATGGAAATAAAAACAAAATCGTAGAACAGACAAATTTGGTGCTGATAGTTTAAATTGTAGTTCCTCATACGACGAACTAAATTTTAACAAATTGGGAATCACCAATATTCATTATTTAAAATATTTTAGATATAGAATTTGGACATTTGGGCGTGTGAATCTCCAACAAAATAAAATATTGCACATTTCTTACATTTTTGACATACGATTACAAATATTTTATGGACACAATATAATACTCATTAAAAATATTAATTTAAATTAATATCGTTAATACATTCCCAAAATTGTTTACTAACGTTTTTCATTAAATAACAAGGCTGGATATGTTAAATATTACTTTAGATTCTGAGCGGAGAAAGGAATTTATTGATTTTACAATGATGTTATTTCTTTTCTTTTTCACTTTTTCTACCAGAAAATTGACCAAAAATCATTAAAATATACAGTAGGTACCTACCTAAATGTTATGATTTTTGACTCGTAATATTTGACTCAATCGAAATCGACCCAGATATTATAGCAAAGCCTTCATAGTTTATTCAATAAGATAACAAATTGATTTAGAAAAAAAGTGGACTAAATATTCTCGTTCTCTACGCCTTGCCGTTGATATACGTGGGCTTAGGCTTGACTCGATCCACCTGACCCGGTAGCGTTACGTACCATCGACCGTACGTAATCCGAGTAGTGGCAATCGTCGTTAATTGCTTTGTGTTGTCAAAACCCAAACGGACTCGATGACTTGCACCGACGGTGAAATTATAATATAGAAATACTGCCACTACTCGACGAATGTCCCTCATACTCGACAGAGCAAATATTATTATTACATAATATAATATTAAGAATACCATTTATACCTAAAACCTATGGTAGGTTCGTATTATAATCAATCGGCAATCTCATGACGAAACTAATTATTTTAATTGGACCGATTTTTCAGTAAAACTTGACTCAATCCTCATGGGTAAATAAAAAAATAATTATTTCATTAAGCCTCCGTTTACGGGAGTAATAGGGATAACCCTATTAATATTATTCGTACACTGAATTAGACGGGATGCGTGTGAGGAGAAAGAGTTCCTTACATATCAGAACGTCGAGGCTGGATCGGTCAGGATTTTCTTTTTACAACCCTTCTACTTTTTTTCTGATTCGAGAACTGAGTTGCAACCGATCTCATTCCGAAAACGTGTACGGAGTCAATAAGTTGATCGTATAAAATACCGAAAGTAGAAAGAATTGACAGAATTATTAAAAAATTGAGTGGTTCGCTTAATCAAGGCCGTATAAGACCTTTCTGAATTTTAGAATCTGAGCGGAGAGAGGAGTGTATTTGATTTTTCAAAATCATCTCAAACATTCATTGTTTACTTTAAAAGAAGCGAAATTTTTGTATCGTTAAATTTTATTTGAAAATTGTTTAAAGATTTCCAACGATTACTCTACATAATTTTTTAAAAAAACTGATAATAATATACGATATCCAGAGATTTGAAAGTTTGTCCAAAAGCGATCTACAGGTAAATAGATATGAGAATCTGGTATAATTTTGACGTTTAATTTTGTATACATAATTTCTAAAATATGGTATCATTTGTGGACTTTCTTTTCTTAATTTTTTGTTGATTTCTGGATCCTCTTTAAACCAAGAGTCTTGATTACATACAAAAAAGCTACTTTAATTAGTTAAACCAGTTAAAGGCATCCGCTAACCAGTTAAACTTCTGACATAAATAGTGGTCTACCTATTCCATTCGGGTTCTTTTAAGCTTAAACATCCAAATGGGTGCTAACACTTGAATTTTTGTTTTATTTTCTTCATCACCTATAAAGAAGTTATAGTAGATGAAAAATTCCATAATATATCGTACGCATAATAATCATAATATCATGAATCTAGATTACAGAAACGATACAAAGTTCGAGTACACATATTTTGTAAATTGGTTTAGTCTTCTTGGCTGTTAGTATCACCATAAGTGGTGTGTGGTTAGTGGACAACTTCCACAGTCGAATTATTTAACCTTTGTATTTTTAAAACCATATTATATATGCATTATATATATATAATACACACGTGTTTTATACATACTAAAAGTATTTTTTTTTCGTGTACCTAATATTAATATTAATATCAATATACGATAAAAATGCGAAGAAAATAAAAGACATAAAAACTTCGAACACTCCACCGCACTCGGGACTCGGTACATGAACATACTCCGTAAACGTTCATCTAACCGGTTGTCACTTGTCCCGTAAGCAACTTTTAGCAGTGCAATAAGTCATCATGACTAGCCAAGTGAACTTGAAATACAATAAATTAAATCTAAGTATATAATATAAACCTAACTGTTTAATATTATTTATAAAGGTGTCCCACGATGATCTGACACTTGACATAAATTTTGTTCTATTTAACATTTTTCAAATAATTAGTATGCCTAAAAATAAAAAATTCAAGAAAACCATTTTGTAAAATATATTTTTAGACAATTTCTGGTGGATGAAACTTTTGTTTATGGTATGGTACAGTTCTTGTATGGTAATTTTTTTACTATAATTTTTCGAAGTTAATTGTGATTTATAATCTATTCTAATATTTGTTGGTATAGTCAGAGGCCGTGCAATAACAAGGATTTTCTTTTTCGTGCGTTAATATTATACGTTATAATACTACTGACTATTGATTAAATGTTATAATAGATTATGAGCCACAATAATATCCACATTTACAAAAGTTTCCATAAATTGTTCAAAATAAAAGACCATACAAAAGTTTCAACCCCCAAAAATGTTCTAAAAATCTATATTACTTAATAGCTATTTTGAATTTTTTTTTAAATTATAGACAAATTTTAAATTATTTATTTTACGCTTCCCTTCCCCTAAAAATATAAAATGTTCATATATTAGCTAGCTGTAGCACGGAGACGTGCTAATTATTTTTTTAAAAAAAGTGTACTTGTTAATAAAATTTGAATAGAACAATAGGTTTTTCTAGTTTCAAGGGTCACCCCGTATAGTTACTTACCCAAATCCAAATTATTTAAATACAAAATATTAAATCCTTTACGTCATGTAGATTTTTTTTTTGTTTTTAATAATTAATATATTAATAAAAAAATTCATCTTTAATTGGAGTAGAATCTTATGATTATTATAGACATTCGCGTATCAAACAATGAAAATTTAAATAATAGGTAAGTAATGCATTTTTAGACTAAAAGTGGAACGAAGAAGCTATTTAGCTATATTAGTTTTACCATAATATACATATGTAATGTTCCCCGGAAGACTTGAAAATTTCAAATTTATCCTAAAGTGTGCAATTTCGTACAGGAGTATCGTAAAGCTAAAGGAGCTATCACAGAAAACCATGTTTCAATCTATGATCATCTGGATGAAATATTCATTAGTACCTACATATTAGACGGTACACACTAATTGTTATGGTGAAAATGATAGCAATTATAGTTTGTGGAGTAAAATAATCAATGGTACATTGACATAGAAACAAAAAAATTAATTAATATCCTAAAAACAGTCGTTTATTTTTCAATTTAATTTTGTCGTAGTAAAAAATAATTGAAACCATTAACCAATTAAACATCTTCAGCAAATAATATGATTCAAAATAATGTCTAATAAATTACAAAAAGTCTAGTTAAAAATATTCGAGGAAAAATTATAAAGGTGGAAAATATATCCGAGAAAAAAATATCAAATTATAAATATATAATAATTAATAAACAGTAATGTTGTTATTCATATACATATCCATATATGGATAAATATATAAAGATAAATATTATTTTGATATTTTGAAATTTTTACTGACGAATATATTGATTTTACAATGATGTTTATTTATTATTTTTTTTAATGTGAACACTTTTTCTAACAGAAAACTCACTCAGATTATCAAGTATTGCATCTTTTATGAAAGTAAATTAATTTTCTCTGGGCCGTACTTTAAAGAGGTCATATTGAAATTTTCATTAATATTCGAGATAATGAGGAAAACCTGGTTCTCTAGGTTAAAAAAGATTTAAATATTAAAAATGAGGTTGTCATTAGCAACCGTTTTTATTTATTTTTTGTTATTATTAAGTATTTATTATTTTAATATTTTTTAAGCAATCATTGTTTTTATCATTTTACTATAGTATGACATAATATATATAAATTGCTGACAAAACAACACTATTAACTGAACTCCGCTCAGAATCGTAATTTCATTAGCAATGGTTTATCGTTGCTTACAGATGTATATTGAATTCCCGTCTGTATCCTACCTTCCCAACTTCCCACCTACAAAAGGAGCTGCAATCATATGCGAAGTATGTCCGTCCTTTTTAAATATTGTAATATAAACTAAATTGTAACTGAGTAGTCAAGAATTACTTTGAATGTATATGGATATAGATATGTGTATGAATAATTATTATATATTCATATTTTGATAGTTTTTCCTCGGATATATTATTTTCCACCTTGATATTTTTACCTTGATTATTTTTTTCTCGGATATATTTTCCACCTGGATATTTTAAACTGGATATTTTTTCCTCAAATATTATATATCCGGCTATTTTTGTCAGTTACAAACTACAAATAATTTTTTCCGTCTATTCAACGAGGAATATATAAAGTTATATATAATATATATAATATATAAGTTATAATGATCCTAAATTTAGGCGTTTAAGATAAATTTAAAGTTTTAACTTTTGGGAATTTTTTTTCACATAAACAATTTTACAAAAGTACCGTGTTCTGGAAAATATTTTAATCTTGAGTGTGGGTGATTAAACTTTACATTCAACTTATAAGCCACAATTTGAATGCAGCGTAGCTCAGCATTATATATTTAATAAACGGAGACAACACATTATTATATGAATATATGGGTATAACGTCCTATCATAATTTTTATCGAAACTAAAAACGTCTAATGAAATTGCCTGTTATCGAGTATATTATGGTAATATAATATGCAATAATGGTTTTATACATTTATAGAGTATAATATTTATATATTTGATGTTCGTTGTTGACAATGTTATTCATAAAACGACTCGATATACTCGTAGTATATGCATGCTATAAAATTAGCGTGTTCGTTTCAATTATTATTTTAAAATACAATATTATGAAAATGTATTATCGAATTGACTTTAATATATTCATTTCATTTAAAAATAAATCCTCTTATCAAACGGTAGTCAAATGGGCATCAGTGTTGTAGAATCACAGAATGTTTTAACGACTACCCTTATCTTTAATTGTGAAAATGCAAATACATTTTCGAGATGTCAAGTAGGGCGAATACGCGCGTGGTGAATAAGAGACAAACACAATTTATCTAACCCCAAAACGGGTAAACATAGAATACGAGCAATGTGGTCTGTGTTGCTGTTGCACGGTTATCGTTATGAATCATCTGATGATCGCCGGCACGCCACTTTATTTCTAAGTGTAAAAACCAAACTTTTATCCCTTAATCGGTTTAGAAACTCATTGTATAGAACTATAACTGTTGATTAATAGTTTATTTAAACGCATTATTTATAACTTACAAACAACGTGTTTAACGCAAAATACGATATATTATACTCAATATACATTTTGGCTGAACTAGCCATTGACTTCGACCGGACATTTTTTAGAAGCCCTGACTTTATGCGGCCATGTGGGTTCCCTAGTCCTAATAGAAAGTTCAAGATAAAATCGTAATCTTTACATGTATTCAGTCCTAACATATTTAAATACAATACAAATATAATATAAAAATTATCCTAGATATTGTGGCATTGCCATAAGATTATAGTAATGTTAATGTACAACTTGTACAAGTTAAATGTATAACATAATTAGTTTTTTTTTATGTGTATATACTTTGCAACAAGGAAAATTCTAATACAAAAGATAAAATTAGTGATGTTATTACTGCACCAAATTATATTAGAATTGAGAATAATGTATTCTGGAGCATGACGAGAAGTTTCGATATTGTTATTCTTCACATTTATCAAAACAAACATTTCTTGCTAGGAAGGTATTCTATTATAAATTATTATTTTTTTAATCTACAATCTTTACCATTAAAGTAGGTAGGTACGTTCTCATTTAAAGATATTTGCGATACGACCGATAGAACGAGTACCTATAAGGATTTTCACGATTACATCGAGACCAATCGAAATAAATAAACTATTTTGATTTCTTCGCGATAAAAGTGATTTATTTTAAAACGCAAAACACTCATGGGGGCTATGCAATACATTTCGTATTGTTCTGAAATAATCGAAGTATCGTAAAAATACAATCACAAATCCCAAATCGCTTTCAGTGAGGCCTTCAAAAAAGTTAAAATTGCAAAATTTATTATACAAATATTGATACACGAATTTTTGTTCAATCGTTAACAAATAATTTACTAGTTTTTATTTTAATACAAAAAAAAAAAACATAAAAATACATGCGTACGCAGATGGAATGTTTTCCCAACTATACTTTTCATATTTTCATAAAATATGAAATTTATTAAACTATTAGAGAACATTGAAATTATAATAGATTATTAAAAATTATACGTAAATATATACCTATATATTTTTAACCTGTCAAGTTAATAATGCATTTCTAATTATTTTTCTTTTTGTAAATTGTCAGTTGAATTTAGTTGCTGTGTCTTTCTAACGATTCGTTGGTAACAAACAATGTAGCAACAATTTATTTACGTAAAATGTATACAAATACCTTTAAAATGAAAGAGATGAAACTTTAGAGTTAAAACCTCTACAATAAAATGTATAGATGATACAATTTTAAAGACAAACTTCCTCAACATTTTTCTTATATAAAATTAATTATTATAAATTAAAAACAGTTACAGTTTAAAAAAAAAAAATTAAATAAAATTTACTTTACCGTCGATAATAAGTATAGAATAATTAGATAATTGTAAAACTCTGCGTACTAAATGAACGATGAGGCAACCTTCTCCGATGTATAATGTTCCATAATATTTTATATTGAAATTATCTATTATCAATCATTCTAAAGTCCTGATTTCAAAAAAAAAAAATGTTCTTATCAAATACCTCTCTCCGGCGGAATTGACCTACAGATTCTTCTGACTATAGTCTACACGAGCGGATAAATATCAAAAAAAAAAAAAAAACCAATATCATACATTTTTAAAATCCAAATTAAAGTTAAATTTAATAGATAAAAATCACTAGAAAGGTATTCTTTGGAATAAAACCAAGAAATTGTTTGTTATGTGACGTCTAATCTAACGAATATTATATTTTAAGTTACATGACAATAATAGGTAACATTTTATGTGAATTCAATCTATTAATAATTTATTGTTTATATCACACTATCTCGTAAATCTACCAAACCGATATATAACCTATTATTCTGTGCAACGAAATAATAGTAAATCTACTTAACAGATTTATTTTAGAAAATATGGATATACCTACTTATAATAAATCCCATCGCAAAGGAATATCTAACAAGCTTAATAACGTCATAACTCATTACTAATCCTCCATCAATCAATTGGCAAGGTATAGTTTATTTTCTATACATATCTATACTCATTACTCATATTATAATTCCTTGCATAAGTAAGATTATGTTACGAGTATAAATATATACATGATTACAAGAATACCGAACGATTACATTGACGCTTGGTCGTTGTCAAATCAAAAATAAAATAGCGATCGTGTTATCCCATGATAACACAGTTAATGCCATGTAACATAATTAATTGTTATGTTATGTTATGTTTGATCATATTTCAAACGAAAATCAACCGCTTAGTTTGTAGTCAAATGACTACAAGTTTCCAACGAACAAAATTTTTCATCTTGGTTTTCAAATATGAACGAGAAAATTGAAAATATACAATACAATTTGAACCACTCAGAACAGTGCCCCTGACGCTGTCTTTTTAATTTGTACTTTTACAATAAAACATTTACTGATGGTACAAGTGTAATATATTTCAATCATAGCTAAAAACGATATTTGTTCTTGTAATCTCCAAAAAACAGCCTGTGTTTAAGTACCGGAAGTGGTAGACACCTATTATACTGAAGAACTAGGAGTTCCATTACACCGTCTTGTCTTAATAAAAACCATAATACACCAACAATGGATCATTTGTTCTAGTGTAATCCGATCTCTCTGAGAGCTTTAAACTACAAGACAAGGTGTCATATTATCACCGATACTCCTTAAGCTTTAAAACTGACGATAGTATGGAATTTAAAATTGAATAGTACAAAAACAACGTCCTAGGATAATAGAGACGGTTGCAGTCATTGTTATAGGTAATTTAATGTATACCTGTAAACAACAATAAACCATTGCTAACCGAAAACGATTCTGAGTGGAGTTCAATTGATAGTGATGCTTTGTCAACAATATATATGTTATATTATAGTAAAATAATTAAACAAGCTTTATTAATTTTCTTTAATAATACTTGTTTAGTATTAATCTGATTTTCCCGTTTTTCCTCCGTTTTATCCCGGTTTTTCCCATTTCTGTAGAAAACTCTTGAGAAGATCGAAAAACGACCTTCTTAAAAAACCACCCCAGTCGGATTTTCTTTTAGAAAAATTGCTGTCATCAAAAATTGGAGTAAAATTTCTGGTAAAAAAATTGTTCACAGGAAAAAAAGGGGCCGTAATATATTTTAGCTAATACCTACATTTCTTATATTTTCCCGTTTTTTTTCGGTTTTTCACATTTAATGAGAAAACTATCGAGGAAATCAATCTCTCTAAAATATCTCTCCATACCGATTTCCTTTCAGAAAAGCTGCTACACTTAAAAATTGGAGCAAAATTTCTGGTAGAAAAGTTGCGCACAGATAAAAAAAAAACATCTATGTAAAACCATAAGCTTCGTAGCTCCACTCAGAATCTAAAATTAAAGCTTTATTAAAGTAATGTACATTACTTTGCTCATTACCTTACCCATGCTCAGTTGTATTTTTAAAAAAATATTATTTTTTTTTTAGATATGTATAATTACATTTCTTTTTTGCTAAAGAATCTACACTTTAATAATTATACTAGCTGTCCCGCGCTCGGAGTTGCCCGTACCAATTTGTATTATTATTATTTTATCTATATTCATTGTTGGTTAGAATTTAATGAAAACGAATATGTAGAAAAAGGGTAGTCCATCTTTGGCGGGCTAAATATGTTCTGTTGTGTAATTTGATTAGTGTAAATAATAATAATAATAATAACTATAATAATTTTTTTTTCCGAGGTAACCCTTGAATAAACAAAAATCTTATCCTATATATATAAAATTCTCCGGTCACGGTGTTTTCTATTCATCCCTGTTACCGAAGTAACACAAATCAACAAAACAAATTGTATTTATTATATTATAAGCTAAATTATTTGGTGTTGCTCGTGTATATACAAGCGAAAATACTAAAATCGCGATTAAAAAATAGTGGGTGAAGGTAGGAGGGTGAAAAATACTTTACTACCTACCAGACCTACCAGATAGACACAAAAAATTTCTTGAAAATCGGTCAAGCCGGTTTGAAGTTCAATAACAAACACTGTGACCAGAGAATTTTATATATAAGATAAACTCGATAACGTCTATCAGCTTATTACACGTGCCTATACAATTTGATTCTGTGTCAATTATCAATTGCGATAAATTGGACACGCGTGATAGAGCAATTCCATTTTGTCGCGAATATAATTGCCTTTCAAATAGTAAACTAGTGCAGATTAATTGAGCGTTACATGACATTATTGCTATACGCTTATACATTTGAATGTAAAAACCTATTATTGTTCCATAATTTTTTTTTAACCTATAATCCTATTATATAATTATTAAATAGCCAATTAACAATTTATAACAAGGAAGTTTTAGCATTTCATTTAAATGATTGAAGTATTCCGACGAATAGATAATAATTACATGAAATAAAATGAATAGATACCTATATTACATAGGCTCACATATACAATAACTGACTTGGCTATAACTCTTTTTATTCCTTTCACTTCAAACACCACTTATTAGGGAATATACTTGATTTCAAATTATGATGGTTTATATTATTTCATTAATTACCTTCTGTTTTTGTTGGGCTAATTTTCTTAGATCAATTATGGGCACTTGGTGGTCATCCTTACTCCCTTTTATCTATTTACAAATTTGTTTTACGTGCTTAACTCAAAAATAAAGCAATAGTTCTTTATTTTTGTGTTCTGCGTCATTTTCCAACTGGAAAAGACTCTGTTTTGTTTCATTTTTTTGCTGATTACTTCTATATTCCTGAAATATATGTTTCATTTAACAGTAATTTGCCCCTTTATTCTTTCTCTTTTACTGTGGAGTGATATATTATGGTTGAAGCGCTTACCCTTATCTTTTCCTTTCAACCTAACAAGTTTTTAACCGCCTTGAACTCAATATCGAGTCTCCAATCCCAATCTCCATACAGAAGCGAGTATTTGTAATTTAGTTTTTTGTCATTCTTTATACCTACTAAGAACAGTGATGTTTGAAAAATTACCTCATGCTCTCGTGTTATTAAATTAAATTTCAATAAAGTTCATACCATCCAGCCAAAGTTTAGTATATAAAGCTTGAACCCCTTCCCCCACAAAAAAGAATTGGTTTCGTTTTTTATTTTTCGGTTTTCGTTTTGATTAATATTACCACTAAGTACCAGTTTTTTCGGTTTAGGTTTTAATTAAAAATACCTATATCCCTTTTTTTGGCTGATTCGAATTGGTTCCCGGACCCTAGTGATTTTGATATTAGTTGGGTCCCGGTTTTCGGTAAATAATATACTAGTTGGCACCAAACGTTTAAAAGCAATATAAAGCATTTTCCTTCTCGTTTTTACAGACTTAAAATCTATGTTGCCAGAGATTATTTCCATCTTTTTATCTTTTATAGTTTAAACATTTTTTTTTTATTTCACTACCAGTTTTAAGCCATGCTAAACATATTAATAATGTTTAATTGAAAAATTAATCTTAAAAACTATTAGAAAATAGTACGTATGTAGTGCGGTCAATAATATTGTTTTAAAAAGCATTTTTATTCGTATGATAATATTTACAAAAAGATGATATTATTATTTAAATAAATTTAAAATATATTTTTATTTTTTATTTATAACAATATTATTCATTTACCGGATTTCGCCAAAAGAAAAACTAATATAACATTTGTAATAGGAGACGGAACTTTAATGATCGCTTCTCCTTTACCTACAATAAAAACGAACCGACGTTATATATTATCTTTCTTTTTTTTAGTTTATGCAAATTTAGTGAAACTCTTACTTAGTATTTGACACGAATATAAAATTGACCATTTGACAAGGAACATGCATTCTAGTTAGAATATATACATTATTACACATATATATATATTTATCGAGAGGAATGGCGATGTTAACCGATTTGACTGTGTCGTTACAGGAAAAAAAGTATACCGCCCTCATACTTAAAGTGATGGAAAACGAAATTTTGGTAATAGGTTTTGCGTCTTCCCTTTTTTTCCAAACAGACTCTCCGTAGTGCGAAAAAAAAACAACAGTCAAGCAAAAAATGTTCGATCTAGTCATGTCAATCAATCTTCATTTTTCTCTCAACGTGTATGGCAAGCAACTTACACACAATCAGTGTAGACCAAAGGAATTCGTAGCTATAATACATATACAGGGAGAAGTAGGTGGAGGGGATACACCAGGAAAAGTAAAATAAAAGAAACGATCACACGATAAAAACTTCCAGTGCCTTCGGTTTTCTTATTTTTTCTCGTTATTTTAAAACTACGGGTGATCAAAACGCCGATTGAAAACGTAAGAATGGGTTTTGTGTGAGATAAAAAAATATTTGCAACGTGCTGCAGAATACTGAGTACTGACTAGCAGGTACCCCACAGTCTTAAAACATAATATGTTTCAATTTTATTTAATATTGTATCTATTAATGTTAATAAAATTAAGTATTAACAACTCTATACCGTGTGATAACTAAAAGCCGAAAGCCCCTTATTTCGAATTTATTTACAATCATCATATTAAGATATATTGAAATATCGAAAAACTTGAATGCGTATTCTGAAATTTAATCTGTTAATATTAGAATAAAAAAAAAGTTTTTAATAAATCATTTATTTTTAGCTTAAAAAGAGTCATTATCAAAATATTATTTTTAATTTGTATTTTCTTTAACTGTCTAATGAGTTAGTAGTTTTATTTTCTATTATTGTTCTATTTATAATTTAAATGACAATATGAACAATAATTGTAAATTAATTTGTTAGTAATCGATTCCATTTGTACGTTACTCAACAATAGCCATTACACAGTGATCAGTCCACAAGACACACATTATCTCGAAAGTATTAACGTTTTCCGAAATTTTGTTTTTAGAATATTTAAGAAACAATCAGCTATAAAATGTTACATTGGCGTTATGTTTTGTCACATTTATTTTAGCGGATGAAACCACTATTTATTTTCAAATAAAAAGCTGTAATTAATATGGCATATATAGCGTATTAATTAAAATACATTATGGAGTTAAAATTATTAATTTTTGTCAATCCATTGACGAGTTATTCAACTTTTGAGTTTGAAAAGGAAAAGAGTTTAGTGAAGCACCATTTGTATAGCGGAACAACGCGCGCAACGTTCGTACAGTGCTTGACTACTCTCCCCCTAGTACTAGTAATTTAATAATTACACTATATAATAATACTGGAATTATATTGGTATAAATTAAAATGGTATCACATTTTCTAAAAAAAAATCCGAAAAAGTTAATACTTCGAGATAATAAACGTCATATCATCCTATACGTGATTTTATTATTACTCTTGTAGTTCAGTGATTAAAAGTTGATTTTTACCAAAAAATATAATTCGATCATGTCAAACATTATATTGCTGGAATAAAAGTGCATGTTGAGTTGGTAGTATAAAATGATTATTTTATTTTTATTTTTTAATTGTACCTTATGAATTTTAAAAATCAGTTTTTATCTTTGAACTTTAAAATATTTTACAAGTGAATTACAAAAGTTTTATAAACTATTATGCCCATCAATATCCATTTTTGACATTTTATTTATCTTATACAAATACGCACCAGCTAGGTACCTACGATGTACGGTTTTAAATAATAAATGTTGGATTTAGAAAAGTCTTAAAAGAAAAAAATTATTTCTTATTTAAAAATTAAATGTACCTACGCACAAAAATAAATAAACTAGTTTAACTTTATATCCTTATTGTTATTTTAACTACAGTGACATTTTTATTCACAAAGAGTAAAAAATTTTATATTTAAAATTAGTATTAAGCAAATATTATTGTCAGTTAATCTAATCAAATTGTAAATTCTATCGAGTTTTTTGTGGAAAACATAATATATAATAATTAATGATATAGGTAGCTGTTATAGGCATTGTTTTAAGAATATTTTGAAATGTATCTATATTATTATCAGTAAAACACTGAACACATCGTTGAAATAACACGTGAGAAAATGTTATGTAACTTAGTCCATCTGATAAATATTGTCAATATTCTATAATATATAGATTATTAACTTAAGAATTTTAAATATAAATATTCACATACTTCTATACTATAATTGTGAGTGCAATGCATATACGTGTAGTTTACGTAGGTCCGTAATATTCAAAATGCTTGGCGGCCAAATAAATTGATTGATACCACAGTAGGAATATTTAAGAACAAATTTAACGGCGTAATAATAATAATAGCAGGATGACGAGTGCACGGTATCGCGATAGACGTTTGTCCGCGCGAGATAGCTACTTACTATGATAATAATAATATTGCAGTGGATCCGTAGATTATAGTTAGTAATAGTATAACACTAGGTTGGGTTAGGTGTAACGTGAGTGGTACTTACACACGCGTCATACACTCCGACTAAATTTAAACTCCTTGACAAAGTTCATGGCCGCGGTCTATGAGTTTAATAATATATTACTACTACTAGTACTACAGTAGAATCTCAATAAGTCGAATTCAATGTAATTTTTCGACTAATTAAGATTTTAGGGAAAAAAATTTAAATCGAAGAGTTTTTAAGATGTATTATCGTTTATTATTATTTTTTTTATTATGTATTTACAATTTATTTAAGTTATTTTTACTTATTACCTACTATATAAAATATTAAAAACTTTACAAAATTTGTTTGTCTATAATTAACTCAAAAATGGCTAAAATGTTTTAAAAATTTACCACGTCTTTAGAAGAGGCAAATATACGTTTTCTATCGAAATTTCAAGTCTTTACGAATATTTTTAATTGATTTACAAAAAAAGAAAGGTAAGGTAATCGAAACGGGTGCAGCCACTGCTGTAGGTGGTAAGTTTGGAAGGTAGAATACAAACGGGAATTTAATGTATAACTGTAAGCAACGATAAACCATAGATTACGAATAAACGATTCTGAGTGGAATTTAGTTGATAATGTTGCTTTGTCAACAATATATATATACCATATTATAGTAATATAATTAAATAGGCTCTATATATTTTCTTAAATAATATTTGTTTAATGTTGTACTGATTTTCCCAGATTTCCAATGTTTTTCCTCTGTTTTCCCATGTTGTATCCCGGTTTTTCACATTTGCTGGGAAAACTCTTCTGAAAATCGAAAAATGGTTTATTTAAAGTACCTCTCTAGTGAAATTTCCTTTTAAAAATATTGCTACCATTAGAAGTTGGAGCAAAATTGATAGTAGAAAAGTTGTGCAAAGAAAAAAAAATCGTAATATTATATTTATTATATTTCGTAAATTTTCCCATTTTTTTTCGGTTTTTCACATTTTATAAGAAAAACTCTTAAGAAAATCGAAAAATGTTCTTTTCAAACTACCTCCTCACACCGATTTCTATTCAGAAAAGATTCTACATGTAGAAACCTGAGCAAGTATTCTGGTAAAAAAGTTGTTAACAAATAAAAATAAAAAAAAATAATAATATTTTTTAATATTAACCATAAGCTTCTTCGCTCTACTCAGAATCTAAAAATAAAAATAATACAAGCATTATTTTTTGTAAATTTTAACGTTCTTTCTACGTTTTTTCCCTAATTATTTATACAATTACATAGAAAACTAAAAGACAACTTTTATCATTTTAAATTGAAGCAAAATTGCTGGTACAAAAATTGTCCATACACACAAAAAAAATACATAAACAAAATAAACATCATTGTAAAACCAATACATTCCTTGCTCCAATCAGAATCCAATTGTGAATATAAATATATATAAATAAAATAATAAATATATCATATATATAAGTTATATCATATATGCTATATGTGAATATTGTAACAACTTTACTAGAAATAATAATAATAACTGAATAATTATTCCATACTCGTAAATATTCGGAACAAGGAATGTTCGAGTATTCTATAGGTTTACTTTCGAATAATCGAGGTTTATCGAAATTTTAATAAAGAGAACGTCATTTATTTCGATGTTTCAAGGTTTTTGAGTTATCGAGATTCTGCTTATCAAGGTTCCACAATATCTTATATAATAATACAATATTTATATACAGGATTATTCGATATTCATTTAACACGAAATAGCGGTTATCTATACGAACATTATTTTTTTATAAATTTGATTTTAGGGTTTCCTTCAGTTATTATAAAATCTAATTATCTACAATATTTTCAAAATTGTATCCTCATTACGCCATTCCGTCATAAATACAATAATAATAACAACTTTTTATTTTAAAATCTCGTATTCGGAAAGGGAATATTTCTCCAAAAAAATAATTCTAGCGTATTTTGTATGACACTAATATCGGATATTTTTTTGATTGTTGTATAATAATTATTCCAAAATATTTTATAATTATTATCAAAAATTTAATTAAATACTTAGTGTGGTTGTATAAAAACAATTTATCATAAAAACCCATTATTTAGGAAGTTATAACAAATTCCTGAAATATTCCCTTGACTTAAAATTTCGGTAATTTACCTATCACTAATCCTATAGTTCATGAATTCTTGATGGTATTTTTAATCTTGTATAGCACTGAAATAAATCGAACTAATTGAAACTATCAGACCACCAATTGACAGCCACGAGAAAAAATAGACTTAAGTGGTTTAGAAATGTTATAAGAAGAGAGGAATCGGAAGCAGAAAAAATGGTAATGAAAGTAAACATAGGAGGAAAAAGGGGAAAGGGAAAACCGAAAAAAGGTGATTGTATGTGAAAATGATGAGGAAGATCAGTTTACGTGGAAATTTAGGATGAGGGTGGCTGACCTCAAAGAATAGTTGGAACGAATGTAAAGGAGAAGAAGAAAATAAAAACGCGGTAAATGAATACATATATTTTTACCATAGTCAGTAGTGCCTGAGGTTTTAATTACCTACTGTGTATGTTTTAGTGTTCTTACTTACCTATCTATTGCATTGCGGATATGATAGTGGTCCGTAAACGAAACAGAAACCAATGTCTAACGAAAAAAAAAATTAAAATATTATAATATAATACATTTTGATTATTATGATTGTGGTTAATACTGATAATAAGAATGACGCATAACGCATTTGAAAATCATAATAAATAATAATAATCAATACGCATTTACGATTCACACTACAAGTGGGGCCTGTATTCTTTGTGTAATACCATTTTACAGTTTAAATGTTAGTCTACGTTTTCGTTTAAATGCATGGGAGATAATAACGTTATTTTATTTGTGGGTTAACATTAATTAAAACATAGTCGTTATACAATATACCTACGTTAGTGTTATTTAATATTTAATGTGTCTGTCAGAACATTTTAGTAATTCATACATTACCTGTATAATATTTGTATGAAATAAATAGATAAATAAATACTCATTAAGAAAATATAAATGTGTGGCTCTGTATAGGCAATGCATTAATATTATCTATACAGTATGATCAATATAACATAAAGATAGTTATTATCTTGGAAAGTATTAACATTTTTTTTGGAATTCGTTTTTTTAAGAACATTTAATGAATAAGTAGTTTTCAAATATTACATTACTCTTTGTCGTCTTTATTTTAGAAAGTGAAATCACTTCCTACTTTTGATTTTCAAATCATATAATAACCTATAATAACAATTCCATAAACATGTAGTCTGTTCACCTATGGCAGTCATCCGTATCACACGTACATTAAGTTACTCTGTACTTTTTATTTTCATTTAATAGTTTCTACATATACTACAATCTTATACGTAGTACTGTTAAAATCATTGAGAAAATCAGCTTATCCTGTCCAAATTACTCGGTAAATCCAACCATCATCCAGTCTTAAAACTGGAAACAACGGGTAAATATAATTACTTCATAGTACTCAATCGTAACATAACTGTTATCCCCATACAATCAAATTAAGCACATAATTACTCTTATCGTCAAAACACACTTCGATCTCCCCCGGCCCAGCGATCGATCATTAGCTCACTATTTACAATGGGTATAAAGCTAAACTCGTAATCAATCAATCCTTGTACGAAACGTATACATAGCAACTCAAGTGATGTAATCGAAAGCAAATCAGTTATGGATTTAGATCAATGCGGCTCTTCTGAATTTCACGTCAAAACCACCAAAAAGATATCAAAACCTATGTTATTAAACCTTCCTTCATTCGTCAAGCTACTTCTCAATAAAAACCAACAATGACAAACTAGCAACGTTTGTTTCCCTAAATAGGTTTGATCCTATCTCCTTCTAAATTTGCATCAAATATATTAACGACGAACAACATTAAAATCGTTCAATCATCCCCAGCACCTCCATCTATTTTCGCCAGTAATATTAAAGATTTTCATTAAACTGGGTATAGATCTTATACATTTTATCGTCATGAAAAATCAACCACGAAAAATCTAAAAATTAAAACTAAAGATTCTGATGCATATTGAAAGATGTTGATGCATACGTTCCACGCAATTTTGGTATGTACGTATAATAAACAAATTAAATCAGTCCTAGTAATTCTTGGTTTTTTTTTTTTCATCTGATGATGGAAAACTATAATAAACCATGATAAAGAAACTGCGTGGTAATAATTGCACTCACATAAGTAACGCAGTTTTCCATACACTACGTCACCTGCGTCTCAATGTGCGCTGGGCCTTAGTCCCATACACGGACTGTAGAATATAAGATCACTCGGCCAGGAAAACATTTATACAATTATATTATAGTCAGAAAGCGAGAGGTCCGATTATGGCTCTTTATTTCGAGTCACGTATACCCGGGCCGCACACAGACTTCAATAATAATATTGGAGACGTGTTCATAGCGGTAGAAGACCGGTGACATTTCCACGCAATACCTTTGCTCCGCAGTGGAGGGGAAATGAACGAGAATAGAGGACTATTATATACTGGGTGTCTTAGACACGGCACTGGTATTGCACAAATGCACAATAAAAGACAAATTGTATTGAAAACTGAAACATTTTTCTGTACTGTTAAATTCAAACATAACCAAAAACAACAATTTTATTTAT